ACATATTTCAAGGCAAAGGAAAATAGGTCTTTATCTGAGAATAAAAGCTTGTCAATGAATTATGAGATTCATTATGTCACAAATATAGAGGCATCTTGGAATTCGAACAAAATCTGTTCCAAGAGTAATCAAATACCATACTGTCTGAGTTCAAGGTTATTTTTCCAAGAAAATAATGAAAATTAAATTAATCTGTTCTAGAGCCCATCATATCAAAATTTATAAATGTACTTTCCTAAACATAGTGCACTGTAAATATAGTAACAAATGATTACCATATCTGAAGAAGAGAACATAAAAAATATTAAAAAAATTGTTTTTACTTTACTTTGATAAAAATGGGCACACACTAAACAGAAGTAGGAGGAGGATGGGAGATTTAAGGACATCATTATTTGGAAGCTGAGTCTCCTTTCATGATAATCTCAGGAATCCTTTTCTAGCGTTTCATATCAGAGGCTTTCACCATTTGTAGAGGGTTTATGGTCACAAGTTTTTGTAGAGAGCCAATGTTCCAAAGTGCTCTGATGTTGGCAGACATATTTAAATGTCCTCAAATGTTCAATAATCATTAAGTTAACAAACCTGTGACCAGGACTCTATTTGGGTGCCATGTGCCATCTCTCAACAACTTATTTGGTTTTCTACCATCCTGTGAAAATCATACGAAGTGACAAGCCAATGCTAAAGTGTAGGTGGTGCTGTGTTGTAGGTGGTTTTGTTTGGTAGGTGGTAGGGCTGTACCGAATAGTGATTTTCCCTATTCGGCCGAATACGAATAACTGGACCCACTATTCGGCCGAATACGAATAGTGAATCATCATCATCATGTACTTTGCCGGCTGGCATGGGCGATTATGCCTTGCCACAATCTGCGATCTCCTGCAGCACGTATTAGTTCGTGTGCTGACACACCTCCATGAAAAAACTTTGTTCCATGTTGTGAGCATTTTTGTCTCACTGAAGGTATTTCCAGCTGTACTAAACAGGAACATACGACAAATACAGAGAGTCAAGATGAAAACCCGCAAGGCGAAACATCAAAAACAAAAATAACGCCGACGAAGAAAACAATGCCGTCCTCACAAGTCGCCCGCCCCCGCGAGCTCAACGGAAACAAGATCGCGACATCAAAGACCACCGCGGCCACAGAGAGGGACACCGCCGAGCAGCCAACACCTGAAGATCACATAACAAAGAAATCTGTGCAGACAAAGAAACCAGATGCCGAGCGGCCAACGCCAGAAGATCAAACAACAAACGAGACAACGATAGAACAGTTACGACGCCCACAAATATAAATGATGATGAACTCCCGTTACTTCAAACAATCAACGAAGAGGACACTCCACTCAAAGAAATCAAGCCGACAACACTAGAACACTTGCTTTTCTGCCCCTCTTACATTTTCAAGTGTTGCATTTTGTTTCTACAGCAAGCAACACACCTAAAAACACTATACTTGCAACACATACAAGATGGAAATAAAGGGGTAACAACCCCCCAACAAAATAACAAAAAAAAAAAAAAAAAAAAAGACGTTCACTTGGTACGCTCGTAGGTGGTGCACAAAGATAACGCTTGACAGTATAAACCAAGGTGGGAAATCTTGATGTTTTTTTTTACCAGTCCAGAAACGGTTGTGAGGTAACCACTATTCGTATTCGGCCTGACCGCAACTATTCGGCCGAATACCGAATAGTTATTGGGTCCACTATTCGGCCCCGAAGCGAATACGAAGCGAATATTCGGTACAGCCCTAGTAGGTGGTTTTGTGTGGTAGGTGTTACTGTGTGGCAGGTGGTGCTGTCTGGTAGGTGGTTCTGTGTGGTAGGTGGTGCTGTGTGTTAGGTGTTATGTGTGGCAGGTGGTGCTGTGTGGTAGGTGGTTCTGTGTGGTAGGTGGTGCAGTGTGTTAGGTGTTCTGTGTGGCAGGTGGTGCTGTGTGGTAGGTGGTGCTGTGTGTTAGGTGTTCTGTGTGGCAGGTGGTGCTGTGTGGTAGGTGGTTCTGTGTGGTCGGTGGTGCTGTGTGTTAGGTGTTCTGTGTGGCAGGTGGTGCTGTGTGGTAGGTGGTGCTGTGTGGTAGGTGGTGCTGTGTGGTAGGTGGTGCTGTGTGTTAGGTGTTATGTGTGGCAGGTGGTGCTGTGTGGTAGGTGGTTCTGTGTGGTAGGTGGTGCTGTGTGTTAGGTGTTATGTGTGGCAGGTGGTGCTGTGTGGTAGGTGGTTCTGTGTGGTAGGTGGTGCTGTGTGTTAGGTGTTATGTGTGGCAGGTGGTGCTGTGTGGTAGGTGGTTCTGTGTGGTAGGTGGTGCTGTGTGTTAGGTGTTATGTGTGGCAGGTGGTGCTGTGTAGTAAGTGGTTCTGTGTGGCAGGTGGTGCTGTGTGGTAGCTGGTGCTGTGTGGTAGCTGGTGCTGTGTGGTAGCTGTTGCTGTGTGGTAGCACATGGTGTTCTGCTTCCACGGCAGCACCCATATTCTAAGGCAAAATTTACTTGCAAATTTTCACCAGATTCCTAACTGTTCAAATTTTAAGCATTCAAATTCTGAGCTTTCACTTTTTAAAGCTGTCTATAGTAAATGAGAAGTTTCCCAAAAATTGTTTTTAAAATTTATATTTAATATTTGAAGGAATATTTTATCTACTGATTGATGTGGGCTGAAATGTAGGTCGCAGTTTAGATCTCGTTTGCGGCAGTAAACAAAGTTTGTCATGAAAAAATAAGGCACTGATTTTAAAATATGCACATCCTGTGAAATAATGATTCAAAAGCAAACCAATCAACATACTTACTTTTTCAAGAAAAGATAATTTAAACATAAAAACATCATAGAAACATTACATAAGTCCTCGTTCTTTGCTACTGCATATCACATTATCAAAACATTTATTATGATACTGTTTAATATCTGACAGTAGGATTTCATGAACTTATTTTTGTTTAATGAAACATGACAGAAATTCTGTGTGTTGTGTTATCACAACTAACATTGGGCATTTCCATACGTGCTCAGTCCTCTGACGCAGCAGCTTCCCCAAAATACCTCTGTTGATTGCTTCCATGAGAGATTTGGTTACAATCCTGAATCAAAGATGGCACTGGCATACTCCACATTCCAAGATCACGCAATCGTGTTAGCTTAAGAAGTTTGTTACTATCTGCCACCCTAGTGTATTTTGAATGTACACATGCGTCTATGTTGGGTAGGCAAAAGAGTGGTTTAGAAGTGTTAAATCTACTCTGACTAGAGAATATCTAGAACTTTGCTAGATTTATTCAATTTTGATTTTTACAACATAAGAAAAGAATATGATGCGTCTTCCTGGTACCTGAAGAAAGTAGACCTTATCCTGTCATGTGGTAAGTACTGGCTTGTGGAGTTTGTGAGTGTACTGTGATTTCTCATTCTGTGATTTATTGGAGGAGATTGGAAGACTTTTGGAAGCTTAAAAAAATGTTTGTGCTATCTCCACAATTAAGACTGGCCACAGAAATCACTGTTCAGACTTCATACCAAGGAGGTACCCCAAAGCTGCTCAAATTCCTGTGCCAGTGAAAGCTACAAGAGCTAATAGACCGAAATGGTTGGAGCATACTGAGACAATGTTAGATGACAGAGAAGTAAAAACTGTATACACAAGGGAGATGAATGGTCGTAGACCACGAGGCAGACCAAGAAGACGATGGAGAGATAATATCCAGACAGACCTGCAAACACTTGGTGTCACCAACTGGAAAGAGAAGGCTAACCAGAGAGATGAATGGAGGCGGGTGATATCTGCAGCAATGAACCTCAAGGGCTCAGAATGCTGAAGAAGAAGAAGAAGAAGAAGAAGTAAAAGCCACAAAGAATATTCATCACTGTTCCTTGTAAGGAAATTAACTGACACAGACTGCAGTCACAGCAAAGCCAATAGTATATACACACATTAAATGCATAAAGCAGGCATCAGAAATGCCAACACACCGTCTGGCAATAGAAATGCAGTTTATCGTCGATGGAAGCAGCAGTTACAACAGATCAGTAGTTGCACACACAATAGCATAAGGCACCACCAGATCCTGGCAACAGGCGACTCACCATTTTCTGAATCTTCAGTTCACAACAAAAACCCCAGTGGGCAGTAGAAAAGCATTCCAAATGAAATCCACAGCTCATAGTGCACTCTATTCAGTAGCTGGACAATGGAGCTATATCCTTCCAGTCTACATATGGAGGAAAATGCAATGGTTATCTATTGGCATAAGCAAAACTTGCCACCACACTGACCATTCCCTACAGTGCACCCAGCTGTCTTTCAGAATATTACATGGTGAGGTCTTAATTTCTTCCATAGTGTGACTCTTATACCACTGTCTGAGAACCATGAAAACATTTAAACACACCACCCATTTTAGAAAACAGACCCTAGCAATCAATGACGATAAAACTTCTAAACACATTCACTAACTTCCAGGCTACAAATCGACCCTTATGGAGGCTTAAAGGGTGATGAAAGGGAAAAAGACTGAAATCGTTGCCCAGGTATTGTATATGGCTCAATCTCTCTTCACAGAGTGGTTGGTCACCTGTGAGAGCATTGCACAAAGCACAAACTCAGTAACTCCAGCAATGGCTTGCCAGTGATCTCCAAAATACTTGCACTCAAGAACCAGATGTGGTGTCTGAAATCAAACCTATACCTTCAGAGAGAATGTGACAAGGGCTTGATCATTTTGCCATTCCCACCCCCCCCCCCCACCTCCCAACAAATGGAGGCATCTTTGGGTAATGAAATCGATTCTTTAGAAACCAAACCTAAAGGATCGGTGGATGGAATGTTGTATACACCTTCACAACTGTCTGACATGATGCCTAATGTAGCTGTTACATTTATACATCTAACTTATGAAAGATTAAAACTGTATAAAGGCCTCATGAACACCATTATTATCACAAAAGATATAAATAAAGTATCTTTGAAAAAGGTTAGCATAAAAGTCGTTGTGTACTTGTTTGGCATTTACAACCTTGTATATGTGCCAAGATGAAAGTTGCAATTTGGACAGCGATGTTCAACATCTTGAAGATCTTCGATGCAAAATGGCACGAGCGTGCAAATAAAGCTAGCAAACAGAGAGAAAATTGATTAAAAAATTTTAAACAGTTGTATTGGGAGAATAACTTGACAAATACGTTTTGGAATAAAATGTGTTTGCCTACCTAATTAGACCTAATGAATCAAGATACCACTTCTACATGAAGGCCAGCTGTAGTGTATCTAATGAAACCTCAAGTTCTGTGACTTCAGGTATACTCTCCCAGGTCCTCTCCTGATGTCCAAGTATATAAAATCATGAAAATTCCATTTTACATATGTCTTCTTAACCCATCCCTCTAGCATGTTTTCTACCAAGGAGCTGTGTTTCTTAAATTTCCCAAAGTTCTTTAACCATCTGAACTAGATCTCATTTAGAAGTTTTTTTCCTGCAAGGCCATTGGAATTTGTGCAAAAAACCTGTTGTAAATCTGAAATATCCGGTTCAATTCCACCTGCAGAAAATTTGGCAGCAGACTGCTCTGCATCGAATCTGAATGTAAACTGCTAGCAAAACCAGACAGCCAAAGAAATACTGGGGCTGTTTCTGCAATACCCTGTAAAGGATACACAAATGACTTTTAACTCATCCATAGAACTAACTTTTGAAAGCATACATTTTATTTTCTCATTGTGGATTCCTTATCCTTTTTCTGCACAGAACAGTAATGAAGAGTAAACAGAATACTTAATCCAAAGCTATCTTAACAACATTATGAGTCTCTGGGCAAACTAGGTGCTGTGGCCCCTATGACAACCACTCACAGGAATGGAATTGAGTGGTCGATAATATTATTTTTTAAATCAGTGGTTGTCAACCTGTGGGTCGAATGACCATTACAGAGGTCACCAAAGACCATGAGAAAACACATATTTATTGAAGTTATGAAGTAGCAACGAAAATAATTGCATGATTGGGGGTGTCACAACAGGAGGAACTATTAAAGGGTCGCCTCATTAGGAAGGTTGCAAGCCACTGCTCTAAAGGATCATGGGGGGGGGGGGGTAAGTTTAGATGGCAATGACCCAATCAATCTACATTTTTTTTGCATTGGTAGAAGAACAGGCGGACACACATGTAGTAATCGTTTCAGACTCTATGAACATACTTCAAAAAATCGCTACAGGTAGTCTATGCCCCAAATGGATAGAAAGTATTCAGAAGTCACAGTTAACCTCCATCATCTGGATCTACACACCTGGTCACGCAGGAGAAAATGGTAATGAAAGAGCTGACCAGCTGGCAAGCAATGCACCAGTGCAAATGGGAAGAAGCATGGACAGAGCTGATATCATCAACGCTGTATGGACTAGATTAGGGGATAATGGCGAATCTCTGATGCTAACACAATTGCGTGACAGAGGAATTAAGTTTGGTGAAGCACGTCTATACCGTCTTTGAGGTAAAGACAGGAGATACTATAACCATTTCCTCATAGGAACAATCAGTAGAGATGCCTTGGAGTGGCAGCAGCATCAGAGGACTGAGAACACAGAGGGATGCCCAATGTGCAAAGACGTTGATTGTTATAATATAACTCTTAATTTTAATTTGTAACTTATTTGTGAGAATGAAAAATGTGTGACAGAGATTAAAAGCAGAATAGGTCAAGCGAAGGCAGCATTTCAGAAAATGAAAAATATATTTTGCAATAAGTCGCTCTCATTTAATGTCAGAAAGAGTTCTAAAATGTTACACAGAACCTGTTCTGCTGTATGGCAACGAATCTTGGAATGTCAGTGAAGCAACAGAGATGTGGTTTCTGAGACGAATGTTACAAATACCTTGGATGGCCAGAGTAACTAACAACGATTGTTTGAAAGAAGCTAATGAAAGTAGATCTCTACATACAACAAAAAGAAGGAGACAAACACTGTTCTTTGGCCATGTAATGAGAAGAGAGACATTGGAAAACATTGTGACAACTGGAAAGATCAGTGGAAAGTGGGTTAGAGGCAGACCAAGAGAGATGATGCTGGATGGGCTGAAACGATGGCATGGAGTTATATCATCAAGAGAGCTGTTCCAGGCAACCAGGAATTGTGATCTATGGAGATGCATGAGTGCCTGTCCTAGTAGGCATGTGATGATGATTTGTGAGCAACATTTTCGGATTTCTTTCTCATGCCCATCATCATCATCAAGTGCCTTCCTAACTTTTGTTGGTGATCATGCTTCTCCACATCTTACAATTTCCAACGGCATGTGTAAGTTTCGGTAATGACATCTCTCCATGCCATGATAAAAAGCTGTCAAAAATATTTTCTTGCTGTCTTCCACTACATCTTTCCATAAAACTTTCTGGCTGTCATAAAGGTTAAGGTTAAAGTCGAGAGGATCAACCTCAATGCACCGGGTTCTATCCAATATGGCTTGGTCTCTTTCTGCAGAACGGCTAGCCACCTGCAGAGAACCTCCCACAGAGAACGAACTCTGAAGCTCCAATGACGATCCCCAGGGGTTCCCGTAAAAACTGCACTTGTAAACTGAATGGCGCAGATGTTAAATGAACTGAACCCACGACATTCAGAGCGCAAGGCAAACAGCTTGACTACTTCTTCCCGGAGACCCCCCGTTGTCACTGCCCCCACCCCCTAAAAGCTTGTTGTAAAAGTTGACTAATAAGAGGTGTTTCCTTCAAAGTCGGAGTGCATCTGCCCAAGAGGCAAGGAACCAACAGTCTGCATGCAAATAAACCAGATCTATAAAATGAATGTGCATGATAAACTCAAGTTCTGGAACAAGACTAAAGTCCAGAAGTGGACGAATAACCAGAACTTTCAGCCGGAGTTTACAGCCGTTGAACATGAAAAAGCAGAGGAAGTCTTCAAGGTGTCATATTTTTTTGTTTAAAAACTTATGACTTCGCTAGCTCAACACTAAAGCCAAAACTGAGAGGAAAAGCCAGAGGAACAAACCATCAGACAATAAACTGGCATCATCTGGTGCTCTACCTCAAGTGATGTGATGTTGTTTCTGAACCCTCAAGGCCAAAATTATGTGAAATTGAAGATTAATTTAAAGCATTTAGCACAGGACACAAACAGAATGATGAACTTGAGGTTCTCACAGTGCACCATATTGATGTCTGTAGCTTAGGTGTCGTGAAAGCATTTTATAGTTCCAGGGTACCATGTTTGAGCAGTGGCAAACTACTGAATAAAAAAACTGCCAGTGAAAACACAAGCAGCCAAAAAAAAAAAAAAAAAAAAAAAAAAAAAAAAAAAAAAAAAAAAAAAAAAACGATTTTGGGGTTGTTAAAAGCATCAGAAAGCCGGGAAACCCAGTCTTACCACATTCTAATATGTTGGACTGTCCTGTGACGTCATCTGGGGTAAGATATTAATAAAGAACCAAAATACAATACAATATTTACCAGAATAAGAAGCAAAGCCCAGCAGATAAAAAAGTCAAGGTCCCAGCACGAGGATGTGTAACTGTTGTTACAAGCTGGCGACAGTTGGGGCACAGGACTTGGAAGGGTTCTGGGCCGACACGACAAAGGGCTACCACTTCCACTTGATTATTTGCTGTGGTTTCTGCAAAAATGAAATGTATTTGTACCAGCAAGTATTATTTGTCATTGTTTTACTTTCTGAAAATCTTTAAATAATTATCATTGTATATTTATTGACTTGCTTGGCAACAACATATATTCAAATGTAACACAGAGCATATATGACTGTAAAGATATTTCAGTTTTATCAATTATATTTAAAGAGGAGGCATAAAATATATGGTTTCACATTCTGCTTTCTTTCTTTTTGTCCATATTCTGCTTTGTGCTGCTACGCATCACAGGTCAACAATGGTCGATATGTCACGCAGGGTGCCGTTCGGTCGACCGGTATGCTGTGATGTTGGGAAGTCTCAAGGTATCAGTGACTTCTTCATTCCATTTTCTTCTTGGTCGTCCCCACCTCTTTGTGTTTCTTCATTCATATTGTACATGCTCACTGCTGGCATCATTGGATTCCTTCTCATTAAACAGCCAAACCACTTCAGTCATTGATTTTCAATGGATTTAATTATAGGTGTTGCACAGGTTTCACATTAATGCAATAAATTCTGGTTAAAAAGTATAAGCTGAAAAAAAAAATTAAAAAAAAAACACTGTATAACTAACATACAACTGGTTAGATGTAAACAAATATCCAGCTGTAACACAAAGCAGGTGCTTCTTTACAAAAATATTCATTATCAAGTATATTAAAAGTTGAGGATTCAGAGATGTGGGTTTACATCAGAGTGAGGCTTCAGAGATGTGGGTTTACATCAGGGTGAGATCTCAGAGATGTGGTTTTAGATCAGATTGAGATCTCAGAGATATGGGTTTACATCAGACTGAGATCTCAGAGATGTGGGTTTACATCAGACTGAGATCTCAGAGATGTGGGTTTACATCAGATTGAGATCTCAGAGATGTGGGTTTACATCAGACTGAGATCTCAGAGATGTGGGTTTACATCAGACTGAGATCTCAGAGATGTGGGTTTACATCAGACTGAGATCTCAGAAATATGGTTTACATCAGACTGAGATCTCAGAGATGTGGGTTTACATCAGACTGAGATCTCAGAGATATGGTTTACATCTGACTGAGATCTCAGAGATGTGGGTTTACATCAGACTGAGATCTCAGAGATATGGGTTTACATCTGACTGAGATCTCAGAGATATGGTTTACATCAGACTGAGATCTCAGAGATGTGGGTTTACATCTGACTGAGATCTCAGAGATGTGGGTTTACATCAGACTGAGATCTCAGAGATATGGTTTACATCAGACTGAGATCTCAGAGATGTGGGTTTACATCAGACTGAGATCTCAGAGATGTGGGTTTACATCAGACTGAGATCTCAGAGATATGGTTTACATCAGACTGAGATCTCAGAGATGTGGGTTTACATCAGACTGAGATCTCAGAGATGTGGGTTTACATCAGACTGAGATCTCAGAGATATGGTTTACATCTGACTGAGATCTCAGAGATGTGAGTTTACATCAGACTGATATCTCAGAGATGTGGTTTTACATCAGATTGAGATCCCAGAGATGTGGTTTTACATCAGATTGAGATCCCAGAGATGTGGGTTTACATCAGACTGAGATCTCAGAGATGTGGGTTTACATCAGATTGAGATCCCAGAGATGTGGGTTTACATCAGACTGAGATCTCAGAGATGTGGGTTTACATCAGGGTGAGATCTCAGAGATGTGAGTTTACATCAGGGTGAGATCTCAGAGATATGGGTTTTTACATCAGACTGAGATCTCAGAGATGTGGGTTTACATCAGGGTGAGATCTCAGAGATGTGGTTTTACATCAGATTGAGATCTCAGAGATGTGGGTTTACATCAGACTAAGATTTCAGAGATATGGTTTACATCAGACTGAGATCTCAGAGATATGGTTTACATCAGACTGAGATCTCAGAGATATGGGTTTACATCAGACTGAGATCTCAGAGATGTGGTTTTACATCAGATTGAGATCCCAGAGATGTGGTTTTACATCAGACTGAGATCTTAGAGATGTGAGTTTACATCAGACTGATATCTCAGAGATCTGAGTTTACATAAGAGGGAGGCTTAAGAAAATGTTTTACATAAGAATACTTAACAATCAAATCTAACCTAATTATATATTTTTTAAGAGTCTAAAGTGGGTATCTAGAATTTGTTATGCTGGACTGCCACCCAGGATGCAACTTCTTGAGTCAAAGGGGTGGGCAAAGTTTTAGTTAGCAGCCATGGAGGGGGAAATTAGTCAAGTTGAAAATGTTTTGGGCAGTCAAAATTGTTCTTTTTTCTTCATTCATCCAAAGATGTAAATGAAATGTGTTGTATCCGTTAAGAACATGGCTGTGATAGTTGCACCTTTTGACTAATATATTTGACTTCTGCAGTCATTTGTGTGTGTGGCCTGGGTTAGCATTACTAAGCAGTTAAAATGATTAATCTCAATGCTTTGTAGCAGAGTGAAGAATTGACATCACAGCACTCTGGGCATTCCCATAAGCGAATTGTTCCCATCTTCAGCCAACGGTGTTAGCAGAATTCTAATTATAACTTGACTTTCCTCTGAGTGATGAGTATCGGCCAGATCCCCTTGTCACTCCTCGCTGCATCACTCTCACCAGACTGTGGTGATCCATTTGCTCCTCTGAATGGTACACATGCTTCCATAAGGCTTTAGCAACGTCTGCCTTATCATGCATCAAAATTTCACCAAGTTGTGCACAGCCAGCCAGTCTGTCCACCTGTTCATTTCCCAACATACCGGCATCTCCTAAGAAAAATCCAGGCAATGCTTCTCATCCGTGACCTCCAAAGAGAAGCAAGCCACTCTGCACGAAGCATGCCCGTTCTGACCTTCCTCAGCATGCTTTCTGAGTTAGTTACAATCACAATATGTGTGTGCTCGTGTGTGTCATGTTCTCTAACCAGCGGAAAACTGCAGTCACCATCTCCACCTCCATTTTTAAGCTGGATGTTATTGTACTATATGCTAAACTCTCCTGCACCAAACGTCACCGTTTAAATTAAAATGTCTATATTTGCTACTTCGGTGATTGTGAAACATCTGTGATTCCCACATGTTACCTCTGCAGTGCTATCACCAGTATCATTTCAACTATAAGCATTCTCCAATATTAAAAACTGTGGTGCAAAGGTGTTAATCCTTTCACCCTGAGAAGCCGAAAAACTGACAAATAGAGTTTCTCTTAGACATTCCAGGTTTTTCAGTCCATTTGTTCTCTAATATGGAGCTTATGGAGAGAACTATAAAGATTACAGTAGTGACAGTTTGAAAGCCCTGCTTGGGTTCCAGAGCCCCATCGTGGGGGGGGGGGGAACAAGAATAGATCAGCTGCCTCCCCCCCCCCCCCCCCCAACAAACATGTCATAGAAGTCAAATGAATAGGGGTGTTTCTTTTGCAATGAATCTGTCTGAGAGCCCAGGAACCAACAGTCTGCATACAAATAAACATGGCCAGTAAAACCCATGTGCTCTGAAACTAAAGTTCTGAAAGAAGACTAAAGTCCAGAATTAGATGAAAGCCAGAACTTTCTGCTGGAGTTTACATAAAATGAATGCACAGAAGAAGAAGAAAGTTTGGAACACCAATATAGTTAATATACGAGGAATAAATCTTATTCACTTTTATCTCTATTTTGTTTTCTACAATCTTTCATCTCGCAAATGAGCACACAGCACTTAACAACCAAAACTCTTTGTAGGCTCGTCCATGACTGGTTGAGTTTTGCAGATAACCTTATTTCTAAACAAGAGGAGATGGCCAATTTCACATCAACCAATCTTGGTTGCCGCTTATGATACGCATGTTCCCTGTTACAGCACTACCAATCTGTTTCCAAGGTAAAACACAGACAAAAATATTTTTATTTTTTTAATTTTACAAAATTTTACCTGTTTAAAAAACAAAACAATTGATGCACACTGTTCTTATTATGTCCTCCCCTAAAAAGAGTTGTTGGTATGTTGTGGTTAACAGCCAGAATGTGATGTCTGCATCTTTCAGCCCAACACATTTGATAATAGCACATTCCTTTTTAATAACCTTTTATGAGATTCTTTTAAGGGACAGTGGGTCTATCCCCCCCCCCCTTTCTCCACGCCAACAGGGCCCCAGAACACACACAGGAATACATATTCTATAACAACAAACAAAACTTAATGTAAATAACATACCAAATCTTTGATAATTCTGCCCAGATTCTGGAAGGATATGGGAGTAGGAATATGATGGTGGAGTAGGTGTGTAAGGTGGAGGTGCATCTCCTGGGTTACTGCCTGCAACTGTTGGGTTATTCAGCGAAGTCGTGGCAGTGGGAGTTGCCTGCACATAAGATGGTGGTGGTGGCGCAGAAGGATTCACCATTGGTGATCTATCAGTCATTCTGACAATAGATTTCTAAATGAAAATTCATAAAATTTATTTAGTGCTCAATCAAAAACTTAGCAAAACAAGAGAGAAAAAAAATTACAGTTCACTAATAACATTATCTGGCTATCCTCTGAATAACAGTCCCAAATTATGGAGGCCAAAAATATACCTTAACAGGGCCTCAGTCACATGTAAATTGCGGACCTCTTCCGGGGACTATACCACCACTGCCGAGAGTATCTCCCGCGCCACTAAGTGCGACGTGGAGTGGGGCTAAACTAGATGGCTGGGACTCACAAGCAAATAAAACAGAGGAAGCTGCATGAGATAGCGGCACAGGAGATACTCTCGGCAGTGACTTTAACTCGGTGGAAGCATTTTCGCAGTATGCTGTGTAGTTGCCGGAAGAGGTCCGCAATTTACATGTGACTAAGCCCTGTAAGGGTATATTTTTGGCCTCGATAATTTGGGAGGATAGCCCATTATCTATTTTCTGTTAATTACCTCATCTTTATCATCATTTGCAAGGCCAGTAGATGAAGTGATAATCTACCTTCACAAGCAACTGCCTTCCAGGTTATTCTTCCTCATGGTGTTCACTGGCTGTTAAAACTGACAGACAATTCTGGTTATTCACCCACTTCTGGACTTGTCTCGTTTCAGAGCTTGAGTTTTGTCTGTATGTCTGTTTTACACATCTGACTTATTTGTATGCAGACTGCTGGTTTCTCACCTCTCAAGAAGATGCAATCTAACTGCAAAGGAAACTCCCTTAATTAGTCGCCTTTTACCACATGATTTGGGGGGAGGGGGAGAATGGGGGCAGCGGGTCTATTCCTTTTTGTCCACTATGGGGCCCCTGAACCCTCAGTTTTGAAAAAAAGACTGTCTACTGTGAAATTCTACTTTCTTCTTCTTCTTCCTCACTGATCAATGTTCGCTAGTGAGATAAATTAGGAGAGAAATCAGACAGATTAGCATCATGACACTAAAAGAACATCGGGCTCTACTTCTACCATATATTATGGCGGCCAAGCAAATACCCTAACAGGGCCTCAGTCATGTGTAAAATGCGGATTTCTTCCGACGAACACATCGCGGCAAAACTAGGATTCCTTAACTATGTCACGACACGCAACACTGCAGACAATAGTAGCAGACGATAATAGCGACCACTGACAATTTTGAGACAAGCAACATTACACAGGATAATAGCGACATGGCGGGGAGACCACGGGCTTCGACGCAGATTAGCAATACCGTTCTTCCGATGAAACTCACTGCCGAGCGTATTATCCCCTGCTCGTGAGTCCCAGCCATCTAGTTTAGCCCCCCCCCCCCATCTGCGCCATGTGTAGCGGCATGGGGGAAACTGTCGGCGGTGCGGCATAGTCGCAGAAACAGGTCGGCAATTAACATATCACTGAGACCCTGTTAGAGCATTTGGCTATCCTCTGAATTACAGTCCTAAATCATCGAGGCTGAAAATATACCCTAACAGAGCCTCAGTCACATGTATTCTGCGACTACCACCACTGTCGAGAGTATCTTCCATGCCGCTACGCGCGGGACTAAACTAGATGGCTGGGACTAACGAGCAAATAAAATGAAGGAAAGTGCAGGAGATGCGGTAGCTGCTGCTCGTCCGTCCCAGTAATCTAGTTTAGCTCCTCTCCACGCCGCGCGTGGGAGATACTCTCGGTGGTGGTGGAAGTCGCCAGAAGTGCGCAATTTAAGTTGCTGGAAGTACGCAATATACATGTGACTTATGCCCTGTTAGGGTATATTTTTGGCCTCGATAATTTGGGACCCTTATTAGGAGAATAGCCGAGCATTTGTTTCGTTATTCGGAGCCGATCTTAGTTTTGCCGCAATTTGTTCATTGGCAGGAACTCCGCATTTTGCATAGGACTGAGGCCCTGTCAGGGTATTTGTTTGGTCGCCATAGTATGAGGTAGAAGTTCGAAGGAGAGCTGAACATCGGTATCAGAAATGAGGGAGAGTAGACCAGCAAGAGAGAAATCAGACAGCCTAGCATCAGGACACTGACAGAACATTGGTATCACTGTATCAGAAATGAGGGACGGTAGATGAGACAGAAGGATGCTGAGGAAACATCTATAAGAAGAATAAAAATGATACAAAAGGTATGCTTGGCTAGGATCTTACAGAGATACAGCTAGCATAAGCAAGTGCACAAAATTTAGAGGGAAAGTTAATTATGTGACATAGTATACACACGTGTTTGCGTTTGTTGTTCAGTTTCTACGCAGTTCAACTTAGCAATGATTCACTTGTATTTTTAGCTGTCAAGACCATTTATTTTATGATGCAATTATTATTAATACACAACACAGAAAGAATAGCTGCAAAAAAAAATTTTAAAAAAAACTTCTGTAGTAAATTTCTGTACCAGGACAACTGTATAAAATCTACCACCCGTGGTGACTGTTCAATTAAAAGTATCTTTTTGCTACTGTTCTTGTTGTTGATGTTGTTATTTTAGTTGTGAAAGTGAAAGTTGAACACATTTCCGGTGTAAACAAACGCCACGAATCTTAACCCACAATGCACTATTGTCAAAATGGCGACGCCCATAGTTTCGCGAAACACAATAGTATCAATAGTGTAACGATTGTTGTCATTGTGTTCAGCTGGTGACTGGATTAGTTTCAGTGCAAGTAAAGTACACAAGGACAGCTGGGATGATGTAGGTTGCTACGAGTACTCGTGAGGAAATCAGTTCGGCGAAATAAAATTATTTTTTGCTGCAAAACAAGCCAGCAGAGATGGACGAGGCACTGAAAAAGATGTTGCAGAAGAGAGTTTATGATTTATTGTCTCATAAATATGGGATACTTATGCTTGTTGCTGGTGTATTTCTTCTGGCGTTATCGGCATTTCACTTTGGACAGGTCAGTATACAATCTATTTATTGAGTACTTTAACAAATTGTTTTGTTCATATGTAAAACTTCAACTATCCTTTGAATCAACCCCCTAAATGGCGGCTTTAATATGATGTCGTCCGAGAGCTAAATTGGCCAATTTCTTGCCATAAAATATCCAAAAATATCCGAATGGGGCTCAGTTCTATTAAAAATATGCCGGTGCTCTGTATAACGAAACAAATGCTCTAACAGGGTCTCAGCGATATGTTACTTGCGGACCTGCTTCTGCGAGTGTGCCTCACCGCTGACCGTATCCCCTGCACCGCTAGTGCGGATGGGGACTAAACTAGATGACTGGGACTCACGAGCGGCAGCTACCGCATCTCCTGCAACTTCCTCCAATTACTTTAGTCGTGAGTCCCAGGCACCTAGTTTAGCACCCCATTCGCGCCGCGCGTAGGGGCGCGGGCGATACCCTCGGCGATGAGTTTAATCGTGTTTGGCGCATGCCGACAAGTCTGACAACTACCGCTGCTAAATCCTCCAATCGGAAGAACACAGTATTGCAAATCAGCTTTCATTGTAATAATATCGTCTGCTAGTATCGTCGTCTGCAGAAACGCTCAAAATTGTCAACGGTCGGTATTTATCGTCTGCTACTACCATGTGCAATGTTGATATTGATTGTCAAGTAATCCTAGTTTTGCCGCGATTTGTTACTTGGCAGAAAGTCCGTATTTTAGATATACGCCAACACCATCGTTCGGATATTTTTGGATATTTTATGGCCAGAATGTGGCATGCCGCCATTTTGGGGGTTGATTCTAAGGAGAGCCAAAACTTCGGCTCTCCTTCGAACTTCTACCCCAGGTTATCCTCCGAATAACGGGCACATATTATGGCAGCTAAAAACATACCCTGACACTGTGTCAAATTGCCTATGCTGGATATGTTCTGTATCGCTTGCCACTCTAAGATAGTACCAGGCCTGCAGTATACCATGTCTGTCAGCAGTTGTCGACATAGCCAAGATATGTCTCATACACTCAACTGGTGTGTCCCTTGTGCATCCTAGAATAATTCACATAGCATCATTCTGTATGCGTTCTGAGTCTCTGACACGGTTAGCATCCGCTGACATAACTAGGCTCTGACCGAGTGTGTATAACATTTCTTGGGGGTTTATTTCATGACCTGCAGCATGTGTTTAATAAGTTTATTAAAGCTTTCATTTAATGATTTAAGTGCAAATTTGATAGTGTAATAATAATTTGAAGTGGTCACTGTCTTCTCTGGGACCATTAAGTTGTTTGCTCGTACTCTGAAGGCTGTGGGTTTGTGTCATGGCCTGGACTGTTTGATTCATTAGTACATTTTTTACGTAGATCCTTGGGGAATTATTGCAGGTGTCAGTGTGATGGATAGGTAGGTGAACTCTTTTTAGTTGTGGCAAGTATTTGCTTCTGACAGTAGTTGGCCATTGCATTTTCCTCCATGTATAGACTGAAAGGATGTAGTTCCATCGCCAAGTTACTTAGTTGAGCGCATGACTTGATCGTGGATTTCATTTGAAATGCTTTTTGACTGTGCTCTGTATAGTTTTTAATTGTAAACTAGATTTAAAAAAAATCTGGAGTGGCCTGTTACCAAAGAACAGGTATTGCGCTGTGTGATTAATGATGCGTGCAACTACTAATCTGTTGTAACTGCTGCTTCCTTCAAGGATGAACTGCATTTCTATTATCACACTATTTGTATTGGCAGTTCTGGTGGCTGCCTTATGCATTTAATGTGTGTGTATGCTATGTGATTTGCTGAGACTGCAGTCTGTGCCAGTTTTTCCACAAGGGACAGCGATGAACATTCTGAATGGTTTTCTTAGGCACAGGAACAGAGCAACTATGTGGTGACCAGTTTACTATGAAGCTGAAACAGGGATTACCTGATTACTGAAGCTACAAACTTTATGCTTTATTGGCAGATGACTTCTGCAAAAAGAGACTGAGCCATATGGGATAAAACCTACTGCAATTAAATCAGTCTTCTTGACTTTAAACCTTTAAATCTTATTTTGGGTACAACTCATGTTTGTCACCCCATCTTGTTCGGCTTGGTGATTTCATAACAGTTCCTATGAGCTGGCCTAAGTTGTAGGGGTGTCATGTGTAGCTTGTTTTGAATGTTTTAACAAACCCATGACCGATTTCAGCTACTGCCAATACACACACAAATACATTAATGATTTGATATTCAGAATCATTGCACCTTTGGGGCATCCCCATGCAGTATTTCTTGCACACAGGCGCCTGTGGTGCCTGAGCTACTCACAACTATGACACATTCTAGAAACAACAGTCATTGACACCAAAGAAAGTTCTGAAAAAGTAAGCTGCGCAGTTTCATCTGGGAGCCTGTATGTCAACCTCACGAATGAAGATGAGTCACTTTGAGGCACGCCATGAATAGACAGTGCAGGAAGACATCTCACAACACCCCTGAAAAACAAGAAAGCCTGTGGGAACTGTTACGAAATCACCCAACCAAGTTAGTTAGTTAGTTAGTTAGTTAGTTAGTTGGGTTATCCTCATTGCACTCCGGACATGTCCATAGGTGCTCAGATCCTCCCCTCAGTATGAACCCCAACGTCCGATGGCTAATAGTACCAGTTCTATGTTGATTAACAAGTCTTCTGGCGTAGCTGGTGTGCGTCTCGTTTTTTGCTGTGCCGATCTTAATTCCCAAGTCTGCCATTCTGGCGAGTGATGTGGATTCACTGCCACCAAAGTCGTCTGTCCTTCCCATTTCTCTGAGGGCATTGATAATATCAGCATGATCCATAGGCTGACCGTCGGTAGTGATAGCGGATCCAGCCAACCTGTCAGCTCTTTCATTTCCATCGACGCCTGCGTGTCCCGGAACAAAAATAAAGGTGACTCCACGGACAGTGGACTTCTGTAATGATTCAAGCCATTGTCTTCGCACTGAACCTGCCTGAACCCTCCGGATCATACTCATTGAATCACTGAGTATACACACGCGGGTGTATTTTTGTGTTTCAAGCCAGGCAAGCGCTTGTGTCACTGCCATCACCTCCATCGTCATGCTGCTGGTTGTCATGGAGAAGGCGCCGTTGGCTTCTTTGACTGTTCTGCCCGCTGAGCGTGCTGTAAATGCCCATGCGCTTCTTCTTTGGCGTATAACGAATCTGTATAGATTAGTGCATCTGCTTCGTCTGAATTTTCACCGATGAGAGCGTTGACCTCTGCATTAACAGCAACAGGATTCTCTTCTCTACATCGCCTGTTGAGTGTGACAATACAGGAAAATGTACAAATAAACGCCTGAGGCACAGGTATCCATTCTGCACCAGGTATGATGTCGGTTAGGCTGCATATTTGCCTAATAACATCTTCTGCCCGACCTAGCCACGATTTCCCCCTCTTCAGTCTGTCGCCCTTTTCACTAAAAAGCGCTTGATGCAGTGGGTGTTTCTTATCAGCACATATTTTGAGATATGCCCGAGCCCTCCACATCCTGATCCTTTGGTTCATTGTTGGAAAGTCAAGTAGATACCTCATTGCTCCACAGGATGTGTCTCTAGTACATCCCAAAATAATGCGCATGGCTTCATTTTGCACCTTTTCGAGTCGTTCAATCTGGGTAGCACTGACAGTGAGGATGGCCAGAGCGTATTCAATGGGGGAAAGGACCAGACCGTAGAATAGAAGTATTAGTAGTCTTTGCTCAATGTTGGAAGCAGCCATAATCCTCATTGCAGATAGACACAACCAAACGAGTTTGGGTGACCAACATGAGTTGCACCCATATTTTATAAGATCTCTTCTCTCTCTATGTCTCACTTCTTGTTCTGTGTGTGTGTCTCGGTATCCTTTCAAATGAAATGGAGCAATTATTTGTAATTAATATTAATTTCAGGCTTGGCTGGAGTGGAGCCAAGAGAAGTATGAGGCAGTTTTCAACTCCTTTAGTGACAACATTGCTGGAAAATCATTTAGAGACAGGTAAGCCATGCTTTGATAATAAAAGAATTCTCAAGAGCTGTATAAATCCTATCCTGATATTTAGAAGTGAATCATGGACAGTTGGACAATTAGCGAAAAATTATATAGAAGCAGTGGAAATAGGGTTTTATAGTCGAATGATGAGAATTTCCTGGACAGATACGAAAGAGTAATGAAAATGTTTTGAATGAATTTGACTTACATAGAGAACTGATTGCCCACATCCGCAGGAGAAATCTACATTCTTTGACCATGTCATAAAAATGAGAAAAATCTGGAAGGAGAAGAGACGCATTGATTGGCACCTTTCCCTCTTTCCAGACGATAGTGTTATATTGCGCTATGAAGAGGCATGGGACTCACAGCATGTGACTAGCAAGACCCGCCTGAGTCAAGAAAAGGAAAAAAGACAGAGAGACAATATAATAGACAGTTTGACAATGTGGCATGGAGGACCATCTGTGTCAGAATTGATTGAAAGTACGTGGACAGAAGGTTGTCTATAGACATGACTACCAATGCCACGCAGCATGAACTATATGAATAAGAAGCCATACATCATCACACAAGAGTGCAGCAACATTTAAAGGTGGAGGTTATACCCTATGGCTCTGGAAGTTAAAGTGAAACCATCTAGCGATGTTTAAAATAAACCCATGAGCTGGTTACAAATCTGGGAAGAAATAGTTTTTCTTTTTCTGCACTCACCTTTGAAAGAGCGGTTGGCATGTTTTGTTGTGTCACACCCGGATTACATTTTAAAATAAAAGTACCAGGGCAATACCCTTTCAAGATTTAATCACTGGGTACAGATAATGGTTAACAGAGGGTGTCCTTTAAGTTTCCATACATAAGAAAAATTACATAAACTGAGTGAGAACCATTGAGGCCATAGAAACATTATAAATAATATAAAAAAACCACAGACAGTGTATTGATCAGCACTCATAGAAGAAGTAGAAAGATAGAAGGAAACATTAGTAAAAGTAAAGGACCTTTTTCCACGCCTTTCAGATGTATTTTTTAGACCAATCGGCACTTGGTGGTTGATGTGGTCAACATCACGCCAGCCGCCTTTATTTCCCAGGACTGCACCTGGTACCCACTCAAGACTGGGTCAACCTGGGAGCCAAAGTCATTTTTGAAAAAAAGTCTGGCTCCGCCTGGGAACGAACCCACGACTTTCTGATCCGCAGGCAAGCTGCTACGCCACGGCGACTCCCAAGGAAACATTAGACAACATAAAATTTTTAAGCTATAGTTGCCAAGTAATTCTTTAGATTTTGTTGTTGTCTAGAATGTCCTTTTAAATTTCTGTCTTTCTTTGAGTGCTGACCAATATATTTTCTGTTGAAAAAAATTATATATATAAAAGGAAAAGTAAACATATCACCAACGCCTTTACTAACATAACTCCTGCTTTGCTTATATACGTGTTTTAGCAATGGAGGACAGTGTATTTTCAAAACAGTGGTTGGCATGAAGAGCATATTATGTAAATAAAAATGTTTTTCATAAAAAAAAATTATATATAATAGGAAAAGTAAACATATCACCAACGCCATTACTAACATAACTCATGCTTTGCTTATACACATTTTGTAGCGATGGAGGACAGTGTATTTTCAAAACAATGGTTGGCATGAAGAGCATATTATGTAAATAAAAATGGTTTTCATTAAAAAAATTTTTTTTTTTTCCCTCTCTCTCCTGATGTATGGCAACTAATGGAACACCCTGTAGATGTACTCTAGGGAAGGTGAAAGAGAAGCATATGATAGGAAGATAACTATACATATAGATGAATAATAATATAAAGAGATAGACTAGAAGAAACCCTTTTGAATGCGCTGTGAAGATGTAAGACAGAGAGTATTAGAGACATTACGGTTGACTTGTAATGCAGAGATGGCACTAGGTAATGAAGAAATTACATAAACAGACTTTGTTAATATTAGTCTGCAGAGAAAAAATTTAATCTGATATGATTGATTTGGTATTACTCTTGCTTGCCGGTCCAAATGCCTTGCGTTGAAATCAATATTGGGCTATTTTTTAAATAATTGATCTGATGATCAAGGAAAGTTGACCCAGCTCAAAGTAGATATTAGTTAAAGGCATGGGAAGTAGAGGCAACCAGCATGATGTTGATCACATCCCCTGTCAAGTGGCAGTTAGTCTATAAAATAGAAAGTCTAGCATCATATACCTGATGCACCACAGGCATGAAAAAGGACCTTTACTTATTTACTTACATAGCTTATCACCTCTTTTTTATGTGGCAGACTCTCAGCGCCTCTACCAATTGATGTTGTCTATACTTGGGTTAATGGGACAGATCCAGAGCTGATCAACCAGTTGGAGCTAGTAAAAGTGTCTTTGGATAAGAAGAATAATCTTAGCAGGTATGAACCTCCTTTTTTACTGTTTGAACTCCTTATATAGGCCCAAAGATGTGTGCTGATTTTGTTGTCTGCCTCTCTGGGGTTTAGAAATAGTAATAGTTTTTGGGTATGTATTTGTGTGGATTTTATACCCCTGTTAATTTGTGTGAATTCAGTACAACTCCTATGCCCCAATGTGTTCAGTTGTATTTTGTTGCTTTTAAACTTTTTGTATAACAATGGTCATCGCTTATTGTTCATTACATAAACTGAATGGCTATGTATATTGTTCCAGTATTGTTCATTACATACTGAGGGCTATGTATATTGTTCCAGTATTGTTCATTACATAGACTGAATGGCTATGTATATTGTTCCAGTATTGGGAATTACATAAGTGGAACAGCTACAGAGTTCCAGTATTGTCATTACATGAACAGAGCATCTGATTTTATCCAGTATTGCTCATTACATAAACAGAGCATCTGATTATATCCAGTATTGTTCAATACATAAACAGAGCATCTGATTATATCCAGTATTGTCATTGACTAAACAGAGCATCTGATTATTTCCAGTATTGTTCAATACATAAACAGAGTATCTGATTATTTCCAGTATTGTTCAATACATAAACAGAGTATCTGATTAATTCCAGTATTGTTCATTATATAAACAGAGCATCTGATTATTTCCAGTATTGTTCATTTCATAAACAGAGCTTCTGATTATTTCCAGTATTGTCATTACATAAACAGAGTATCTGATTATTTCCAGTATTGTTCATTACATAAACAGAGCATCTGATTATTTCCAGTATTGTTCATTACATAAACAAAGTATCTGATTATTTCCAGTATTGTTCATTACATAAACAGAGCACCTGATTATTTTCAGTATTGTTCATTACACAAACAGAGCATCTGATTATTTCCAGTATTGTCATTACATGGTAGTTGCCGTGGCAGAGCGGTTAAACGCTCGCCGCAGATCTGAAGTTCGTGGGTTCACTCCCTGACTGAGCCAGACTTTTTTTTCAAAAATGACCTTGGCTCCCAGGTCGACCCAGCCTTGAGTGGGTACTGGGTGCAGTCATGGTAAGTAAAGGCGGCCGGCGTGATGCTGACCACATCACCCATGTTGTGCCGATTGGTCTGTAAAATATAGATCAAGCCCTTTATGCCTAAAGACGTTGAAAAGGGTCCTTTACTTTAAAAAAAATATTTTTTCTTCTAAATCTTCATCACATAATCGGAGCATCTGATTATATAGTATAGTTCATTACATAAACTTAGTCGTCATTATCATCATCATAAACCACTTCTGCCATGAGGCTTTGGGAGGAATAAAATTGTGATTCAGTGCATGCTGGCTGGCACTAGCTATTGCCATGCTGTGAAGGCTTAAAGTGTGTTTAATGTTGTTGATCCTTATTGTTTGTGGCCATCCTCTTACTCTTGTCTTCTGAGATGTAGTGCCTGTGATGGTATTTGATGCTGGTGTCTTCTAACGAGATGGCCAAACCACCTGAATGTCTAAATCTATCCAGTATTTGTCATTTTATAAACTAAGCAGAAAATAATTTAGCTATTATTCATACATAACTTAAACTTAGCAGCAGTATGTTTGCATTAATGATTATTACATAAACTTGGTCACAGCAAAGCTTCACGTCTGATTATTTCTCAAAACGAAGCATAGTTTTTGCTTGTAAACTTGTTGGCATGTTTAAACGGGGATGTGTGCAGTTGTATACTTAAGCTCTGTGATTTCTTTTTCATTTGCTAAGATTATTCTGGCCTATATAGTCACATACATAATAATTACAGATAGTTATGTTTTCTAAAGATTTCCTCATCTTTAGGCTCTATGAATTGTTTGGTTGAAACTTCCTTGTCTTGATCTTTATCATGTATTGTCTGGATTGTACTGTGTTTGTGTTCTGTAATGTGAGAAAATAATTGATAGTTCATCATTCTGTAGCTCTGTAACCAGAGCTTCTTTGATTGCACACACAAAATGTTAACTGATTAGACTTCTGTCTTACAAGACGTCTAAATCCGTTTATTGTAATCACTGTAATAGTGCATAAAATATACGTTTTAAAATGCTTTCTCAAGGTACAATTTGAAATATCTTGTATAGGTTGCTTCGGGGCCATTTTGAAGAGATTTTTTTTTTAAAAACTAGTTCAAATAAACTTTTTGCTGTCCTGTATTAAATTTCAAAAGATATTTATTTGGAATCCTTTTTTTTTCTTCTGATATGCATTAGTTGAAATTTTAAAGGGACACAAACAATAGATTGCACAATTTATTGTCTGGCATTCTTCGCTATATCTCATCAGGTGCATACTACAGTAAAAATGACAGAAATGAAGAAAACAACAACAGTCAAATGCAACTGCTTGTTTTACCTGGGCAGCGGAGAGTCAGAATCATGTTTTTTTGTATGCTAAGTTCAGGGTGGAGGTAGTGAGTCATGGCGGCTTTGAGAAATCTTAGCATTCTGCCATCGTCTATCATATAAAGGATTTGAAATGCATTGTTCTTGAATATGGTATGCCCAAATTTCAAAAGATAGCAGGCTGTTATGGAGGGATGGTATTTCCACTGGTATTCTCATTTTGATTTTTTTTGGGCATTAATTTTCCCACCCATTGGGAATATGCTCAGCAACTCATTTCTCCAGGCATAGATATATTATGCAATCTATTGTTTGTCTTCTTTATTCAAATTTTCAACGGGAAAATATTGCTTTGATTTTCAAGGAACTTTTCTGAGTAATATTAAATTTGTTGTTTTTCCAATTTTGGTGCAATATTTAAGAAAGGTCGAATTAAACTTCCAGGTCTGACTGGGTTAAAATGGAGGGATAACAGATAAGGCTCTTTGAAGTAAAGAAAGCCAGCCTTCTTCTTCTTAGAGTTCACCGGCTGTCAACTCCAGCGGAAAGTTCTGGTTACTCTGGTTCCCCATCCAGTTCTAGACTTTGGTCTTGTTCTACAACTTGGGTTTTCCGCTACATTCATTTTACAGATCTGACTTTTCTTGTATGCAGACTGTTGGTTCCCTGCATCTCAGACAGATGCACTTTGACTTTGAATGAAACACCCCTTATTAATTGCCTCCTACAACATGCTTGTTAAGAGGGCAGTGGGTCTCTCCCCTCCCCCAAATGGGGCTCCAGAACCGACCTGGGGGGGGGGGGGGAAGGAGGCCTGTGTGTATTGACCCCATTATCCAATGAATGCGTAAAAAATGTAGGGTGAGACCCTTTACGCAGTGTGCAGTTATAGCCTGGAAAATGGCCCTTTTTTTTTTAACCTATGTTGATGATGAATTGCAAAGTCAAATTATGAACAAACTGCCATTTTATAGAAAACAGGAAATCAAGAAGAGGTAAGCCTGTTTGTGATAGCCTTGCTGTTTTCATAACTTTGTAACAGTTACATGAATTCAGTTTAGTTCCAATAATCAAATTGTGGTGGAGGTGCAAGTGTGTTCATTGTTACATACAGTTACAGTGTTATGTTTAAGATAAACATATACTTATCCTCAGGGGTTTTTGTCTATAAAAAAGGTGCTGGTATTCACCATAAAGTATCTAATAAAAGGTGGCGGTACTCACTGAAAATATTATAGAAGCTCCGAAAACAGGAATGCACAAAGGCCTGCTTGTTCTTGGGAAAATCACCGCCAATTTTTCTTGTTGCTTTTCTTTATTATGATCACCACTGTAGGTGATGTTTTTGACAAATATATTTTTATTTTTAGCAGTTGATGTTATGATTATCATTTTTATCTGGCTTAACTCTTTCAAATCCAAGTAATATGTAATGTCTCATGGGCTCTTGTCTTAAATCCCAGCTATGAGTCATATCATATGTCCTCTGATATTTGGTCACAGTATGCTTAATCCATATGGTTGTTAAAAAACATTTTTTCATTCTCCTTCCGCATTTTGAGCCCTTGCGGTTTATGGCTGCAGATTTAGCCTTCTTCCATTCATCTCAGTGATTGGCTTTCCCTTTCCACTTGGTGACTCAAAATATTTGTAGGTCTTCTACATATTGTCACCCCTATTCTCTCATGTTAGTTCCCGGGTCTCATTGTGGAGGAAAAAGATAACACCCACTGCCCTGTAACAAGCATGTCGCAAGAGTTGACTAATTATGGATATTTCCTTCGAAGTCAGGTTGCATACAAATACGCCAGATCTGTAAAATGGAAATGCATGCACAACTCAGATTCTGGAAGAAGACTTTACTCTTTGAGTCCAAGGGGATTTAGCATCATAGGCCCAGGGGGTAGTAAAGAGAGTCATAAAATCTGCGCATCTTGCGTTCTTACGCTTCTAGGTAGGAACCTATGAATGTATGATGCGTTCCTTGGGACTCAAAGAGTAAAGTCCAGAAGTTGATGGACAACCAGAATTTTCCACTAGAGTTTACAGCTGGTGATCATGAAGAAGAAGATCTCTTTCCATTTGGTGACTCGAAGGATGTGTAGGTATATTTAGAATTATTTCCCCTATCAACTCTGGTTATAAAAATTATGATATCCAGTGTGTGTATTGTGGTTGAAAGGTTCAACAACTTTAATCATCCCGTATCATGAATCTTGTGAATTTGCTTATTGTACATGAAATCATAGTAGATACACCTTTGAGGTAGACATTTGTATTGAAACATACTAACTGTTCATTAATTAGTCTACAAATTATCCTCATTGCATATTGAGCCATTCAGTCCTTAAGTGCTTGGATCCCCTCCTAAGTAGATCCTGCAGCGTGTAGCGGCTGACGACACCAGTTCTGATTGGTTTATTCTTCTTCTTTGGCTTCCTGCATAATACCTTTGTCTGGCTACACCCCTTTTATTTAATTTGCTGCTCTTGCAGTCTGGTCATGGTTGCAGATTCACCATCATCACTTGGTTCTTTTAAACATCTTATTTCTCATAGAGCATTCAGCATATAGCACCATATACCTAATGTGCCAGAGACATGGAATGGGCCCTTTACTTACTTTACACTTTACTCTTTGTCTGTCATCTTTTTTCCTCCTTCCCTCTGTCTCTTTTTCCCTTCTTCCCCCTTTCTTCATCTGCCCATCTTTCTACCTGACTGTACCCCACCCCCGTCTCCCTCTCTCTGTTTGTCTTCCTGTCTACCTTTCACACCATCTCTCCCAGTCTCCCTCAGCAACTGTTTTCCTCCCTCTCTGTTTGTAGGACTCTCTCTCATTCAGGTATCAAGTCTAGAGCAGACAAGACCTCAATTCGCTCCATTCTGCTGGCAAGTCTAGATAAGATTTTAAAAACACTATATATGTGCGATTATACCCACATGTGTGCACACAAATATAAGTACCACATATGCCTCGTACACCCTTGAATAATGCAAAAATAAAAATACCTTGTGAAAACCCTTGAAAAACATTGTTGAATTTGGCTAGTAACCCTGACTTACACTAACTATGCATGCATGATAATGACCACACTTAGACAGCTTGTAAAATTGTGTTTACCCAGGCAGGGGTTGTTTTTTTCTTTGTGGGTTTGGTAGCAGATGTGAAGCATGTATGATAGTCAATATGTTTTATATGGTGGCGGCAGACACCAAGAGGCTGAATCTAATCATTTTACTAGGTTATTGAACATAGGTAAGTTCAAGCTAACACGGACTGGGTCAGGTGGCAGGTTTTGGTATCACATGTCTGTGCTGTAAAAAAAAAAAAACAGGCTTGTGCTTATATTTATATGTTGTATTGTGCATATATGTCACTGCATAACTGACAGGCTTTGCAAGTAAAAGAAGAGAAAATTAGATACTTATTATGACTTGGTTGCAGTGTTATCAAATGGAACACATAAATGCCTATCCTTGTCAGACCTGTTCTTGTGAAACTTATCAAACTTATCTTTGGGAAATTTATCCTTGTGAGACTTATCAGACTTATCCTTGTGAAATATCTTTATCAGACTAATCATTGTGAGACTTATCAGTCTTATCCTTGTGAAATATCTTTATCAGACTTATCAATGTGAGACATCAGACCTGTCCTTGTGAAATAGCTTTATCAGCCTTGTGAAACTTTTCTTTGTAAAGCATATTCTAGTCATATTTATCATTGTTAGACAATTATCTGGCTTATCTGTATGAAATGTATCCCTGTGAAACTTATCTTTGTGAAGCTGACCCTTGTAAGATTTATCAGACTCATCAGACTTATCCCTTTGAGAATTCTTGTGAGACTTATCAGACATATCCATTTAATCATACAGTTACTAGTGCTATCAAATTGCAACTCTTCACTGGCTGTTGAAGATGAAGCCAGAGCAAATATTAGAATGTTCCAGGTGCGGTGATGTTGATTCATGACTCACCTCATCTAAGACTTATCCTTCTGATGATTTTCCTTATGAAATGCATTCTTGAGATAGTTATATTTGTGAGACTTATTTTTTTTTGGTTCTTATCTTTGTGAAACTTGTCCTTATGAATCTTATCCTTTTGGTTCTTATCTTTGTGAGACTTGTCCTTATGAATCTTATCCTTTTGGTTCTTATCTTTGTGAAACTTGTCCTTATGAATCTTATCCTTTTGGTTATTACCTTTGTGAAACTTGTCCTTATGAATCTTATCCTTTTGGTTCTTATCTTTGTGAGACTTGTCCTTATGAATCTTATCCTTTTGGTTTTTATCTTTGTGAGACTTAGCCTTATGAGACTGTTGTATAGTGTCTGTTTCTGTGCCCAGGTCTGTTGATATCAGGATATTGTTATTTTCACCAAAGCCAGATAAAGGAATACTTTATATGTAAAAATACTGTATCTGAGGATATTGGCACCTTCCCGTCATCTTTACAGATGAAAGTGTTATATTGCGTTATAAGGAGGCATGGGACTCACAGCTCATGACAAAGGCGAGTTTGACTAGCAAGACCTGCCTGTGTTAAGAAAAAGACTTTTACAAATACAATTATAGCTTGGGATTTCAGGACCATTATTGCCATTTTTCATGTTTTGTGTGTTTCTTCTCAGATGCTTAACTCTTACTCATCCTTTCTGCAATCATTTCTTCTTTCATTCTCATTTCCTTCCTAATGTGCTCCCTCTACGCAACGCTGTCCATGGTCCACCTCAGTACCTGTATCATTCATGTCCTGCATACACACATCTTTATATCATAGTAGAGGTTGGCCTCGACATCTTCTACTCATCTGTAATTTACTACGGAGGATGTCTTTAGGGACTGCCATCCTCCAGTATCTGATGAACACTTGCATATATCACTAAATCAAATTTTGCTAAATCCTGGAGCCTAGTATCATTGAATTGATAACAATAATAACATTGCAAACATCATGACACAATTTTTTAAATCACATCATTTGGAGTCAACTTTTTTTGGGTAAAATTACATCATAAGGTAGTCAAGATTTTGTTTTATTACATCATGTCACAGTCAAAACTTTTTGATCACATTAGGAAACGGTCATATATTTGTATTATGTTATAGGATAGTCTACATTTTTTGGGTATCACATCCTGAGATAAATACAAATAAATACACATTTTCCTTGGTCTTATGACCTGTGCAACTTACAACAGCACAAATTAAATAAATAAAAATAGGGAATAAGGAAAACCTTCGAACTGATACCTTAAGTCCAGACTGTCTGGATCCGCGCAAGAGATCTCAATGGACAAAACTACTTTCCAAAGCTACTGCAGTGTTCATGGTGCCAGAAAGCCTTTCATACCAAGTCCTGCTGCCACAGCAAGGCAGAAACCTGTCACTGCTGTACAGGTGCATATCATTCAGCGAGTGACCTCTGGCCACAGAAGACAGCTTCCAAAAGCCAAAGTGAAACAGAAAATAGAGGCTGTTTTGGCAACCATGAACCAGATACTTTGGCTGTCCATGTACCCAGGAAAGCAAGAAAAAAAATGAAGATATTGATCACAGCTAACATACTGTAAAATGAAGCATGAAGGAGAAGTGAAGACGTTCTTAGCATGTCATCCATAGAGAGGAAAAGACTTCACGGTCAGATCAAGGAGACATTAAGAAATAATTGCACAAGTCTTAGGCCTCAAGAATGGCAAACAGGGCAGACAGAAGTGTGGAGATAGAGGTGAAGGAGGAGCAGCACAAATCCCAGTCCACAGAGATAGTACAAAGAAAAGAAAATCACACCAGGGAAAGTTGTCAGAAATACATTACAAGAGCCAAAAGAGCTGCAATGTACAGTCCAACAGGAGAATGAACTCCTTGAAAAAAAAAGCCAATAAAAAAAAAGCCAGTACGATAGAGCCCTCGTAGACATAGAAACAAAGAAACAACAGCAAAAATAATGTAGGATAAGGTAAAGTACTGTAAAGACCTTGAATAAAGATCAGAAGATAAAAAGGCGCACAGATGACAGCAAGAAACTGAAGAAAGTTCAGAAGAAAAAAAGGAAAATGTAGCAGAAAAAAAAAAAAAAAACTGAACCTGTGATGTGAGGCCAACTAAAAATAAGAAATCTTTTCGTGCAAGACTACTTACCAAAAACAGCATCATATGGTAAACTAAGCGAAGATCCAGGCGACTGTCCATCTAGTCCCTCTCAGGACTACACCAGCAAGAAGGCCCTCAGTAAAAAATTAGAAGCACATTTTGGAAACCTCCCAGGAGCAGACATCAAAACCACAAATCACAGACAACAGTCAACACAGCAGATGCAAAAAGAAGCCTACTAAAACTGAAGTACAAGATGTGAAGAAGACACCTAGTCATACACCCCAATTATAACCTTGTCTTTTTAGGCTGACCAGGGTCAATTAGACAAAGAAAAAAGTTGATAAATTAGAATCAACAAATCATCAAGGAGGACACCTCACTATATGCCCCTCCTCCGTTAGAAAGATTTCAGCACAATCCCATTCCAATATGGGTCACAGTTTTGTTTTGTTATTTCAGAGCCCCACCACAGCGGGAGCTCTAATATAACCTAATGGTTGACCATGGTTTCTGGCATTTGTGCATGGCGGATTATCATCTGAATGGTGGCACTTTTGTGTCACTGGGTGTTAATCACTCATTGTGTGGTACTGGTGGGGTTGAACATCACTCAGTCAGTAGATTTCATTGTAGGGATACTCACTGTGTGCGCTGATTGTAAATGCCAGAATGGTTCCTGCTCTTCAAGAATAGATCACACATGTCTGTAACAGGTTAGTTGCATATCCTTCATATGACATTGCAGAACCAACCCCAACAGCCCCTGGCTGTTGTGTGGTTTTTCTAGGCAAATTTACGTCCAGTAGTTGGCCATTGCTTTCTGGACGGTCGGCTTTCTTGATACCACTGTTGAAACCAACCCAAGGCACATGGCTCGCAGCTGGGATCGAACCCAGCATCCCGGCATTACGAAGCGTTTACATCGAATTAGCCACAGAACCGACATGTCTGTAACAGAAAGCACTAAAATCACCCTGCATAAAACTGTTAAGTCTCTGTAAAGACACTAGTAATTGAACCTTTTACTTTTCTGCCATTTATAATGAGGACTTTGGTGGTGTTTTCATGATTTACTAACGGTAGCTAGTCTACACCGAGTCACCAGAAGGTTAAGCAGTGAAAGGGCCAAAACATTCATGGAAGAGGGACTGATTCTGATACCTTCGGTTGTACCAGCTCTCCTGTGGAGTTTAAAACACTTATGTCTCTAATAGAAAAAATAGTATTCTGTTTAGTTGTATAACACTTCTGTCTCTGACGGAAAGCACAAAATAGTGTTTTATTTTGTTTCACACTTTCTGTTCCCAGAGAAGAGCACTGTACGTACACAAACTGTCTTTGTGTGGGGATGGTCTTGCATCCTCCCCTTCCTAGTAATGCTGTGTTGAATGATGTAATCGAAGCTGATAGCATCTTTCACAATGTGACAGATCTAAAACATATGAAGGAAAAAACTGAAGGACCTGCTAACACGACCTTGCTGATTTTAAACAGTGAAGCTGAAGGTATGGTTTGTTTCATTTTTAAATATATCTGTATATGGGAGCATAAGGTATTTTCTTCTTCTTCTTTCTTTTGCTTGAAATAGATTATCTATGTCTGCAGTGTTGTCTCTGGTATGAACTTCACTGTCTGTTGTGACTCACGAAGTGATCCATAAAGTTTGGCTTGCACCAGTGTTTCTCTTGGCCACACATATGGTATCAACATACCCGATCTTGCAACACTATTACAATAGAGATTAAAAGACAAATTATAAATACAATGTTTATTCCAACTTTAGGTTACAGACTTGAACATTAACCAAGGAACACAAGAGAAAACTAACTACTTGTGAAATTAGTTGTTTGAGAATTGCTGTGAATGAAACCAGAAGACATTGTTTGAGAAATAAAGATAATTGAATACTGCCCATGGATATAATACCCATTATTAAGAAACAAAGACTGATGTAGTTCAGCCACCTATTAAGAATGATGAACTCAAAGAAGCCGGCAGGGAGAGCATACAACATGAAAATGGAAACACCAAGAAGCAGAGGGAGACTTAGAACAATATAGTTTAGTTGCCTATCCTTTACAGGACATTGCAGAACCAACCCCAACAGACCCTGGCTGTTTTGTGGTTTTCTAGGCAAATTTGCTTCCACTAGTTTGCCATTGCTTTTTGGACGGTCGGCTTTCTTGATACCACTGTCGAAACCAACGCAAGGCGCATGGCCCGCAGCTGGGATTGAACCCGGCATCCCAGCATTACGAAGCGTTCGCATCGACTTAGCCACAGAGCCGACTTGGAACAATATAGATTAAAGAAATCTTTGACACCTTAAAACCTCACAGCGTTACAGTGTTCCCAGTGATCAAGCATGCCTTGGTTCAGCTACCTGTTCATTAAATTGTGACACATAACAACACACAGCAGATGTTGACAAAAGAAGAAGATACATGTGAATCTGGTGATGTGTTTTAATTTGCTTCGAGGTGATCAGTTTTTTTAAAAATTGATATGAACTCTATGTTGACCTATCCTAATAATAATTTCAATTTTTTTTTAACCTGTAAATATGAAAATTGGTCCAAATCAGTTTGTTTTCTCCAGCTTTATTTCCTCACTATTTTTAGTAATATATGTGTGGCTTTGTTTAAAATGTTCAGTTTATGTTAAATATGCTTGATGAAAATAATTGAAGCAAAATCTACATGGTAATTCTCATCTTTTTTTAAAAATTACATACACAGTAAAGCAGATTGTGAAATTAAAATCTGGGGGATGGCATTTCCAAGGCACTAACTACACACTGAAGCCAGCATACTATGTGAGTATATGAATGAAATGATGACTTACTCTCTTGACTTCTTTAACTATTTCTTTCTTTCTTCTTCTTTCCCATCTGCCTCTTAATGGGGTGTAAGCCTTTAACTAATCTGCACCTTATCGTCATATCCTTTGCCATAATTTGGAGCTCATTCTAGTTACATTGTTGTCAGGAATGATTAAAGTGTGTCCTTTCCGGCACCTATGTCTTTTACTCACCTCTTGATTTATTGGAATTTGTTTCAAGACCTTTGAATGTAGTGTAACTCCATCTCCACAAATTTTCTACAAAACTCTTCAAATTTTTTTCAACAATTAATAATCAAATAATCCAAGGTGGGAAAGGGGGGGGGGGTGTGGTGTTTGTGTGTGTGAGAGAGATATGTTTGTGTGTCTGATAGGTGTATTCAAATGTATGTATTTATCATGCAGTGCTTTTCTTGTTTTACTTGGTGTTCACATTATGTAAATTATTGTATGCAAATAGCCTGCCTTATAGAAAAAATACAATTGTTATGTGAAAGATGATACCGTTACAAAAAACACCTGGTGCAGTGGAATGTGGAGAACATCAAACAATTAGTTTAATTTGTCATGTAACTAAATAATAATGAGAATTATCATGAGAAGAATAAGGTGCAAAATTAAACCATAAATTGGAGAAGAGCATTGTGGTTTTGTTGAAGGTAAAGGCACAGACATCACCATATTTATCTTGAGAACATTTTCAGAAAGAAAGACTGACATGAATAGAGATCTCTATTTGTACTTTATTGATTACACTAAAGCATTTGATAAAGTGAAACATGAAGAAATTAACATTTTGGAAACCTTAATCATTGTGGTAAAGATTTGCGAATAATAAAAAACATATACTAGTGACAAGAAGCAGACATAAGGATTGACAGTCAAGTTGGAACTTTTCATAACATTAAACAAGGGGTTAAACAGGGATGTGTACTATTACCAGGTTTATTCAATTTGTAGAGTGAAATAATAATTAGATCCATACATGGTATGCCAGGAACATTGGTTGGTGGGCATATTGTTAACAACCTGCGATGTGATGGTGATGTAGTTTTGATCGCTGAAAAATGAAACACAGCTGCAAGACATGATGGATATAACTGTAACGGAAAGTGAAAACAAGGGTCTTAGTTTGAACAGCAGAAAAACTGAAGTAATGGTAATTACAAAGAAAGCTGACCCTCCAAAATGCAACATCAAAATAAATGGGACAAACCTCAAGCAAGTTGATGTCTTTAAGTACTTGGGTACCGTGATAACATCAGATGGAAGATGTATTAAGGAAGTTAAATGTCAAATAGCTCAAGCAAAGGCAGCATTTTACAAAATGAAGAATATTTTGTGCAATCTTCCTTTGTCAACTGAGACGAGAAAGAGAATTATTAAAAGCTATATAAATCCAATATTGATATATGAATGTGAATCATGGACAGTTAGTAAATTAGTAAAAGCTTTTTTTGGAAGCTGAGATTTTTTTAATAGACGAATGATGAGAATACCCTGTATAGATAAAAAGAGTAATAAAAACATCATGAAAGAAACTGACTCATGAAGAGAACTGATTGCCCACATCAGAAAGAGACAATCTACATTCTTTGGTCATGTGATGACAAGGAGAAAACTGGAGCACATAATGATGAAAGGAATGTTTGAGGGGAGGAGAGGCAGGGGGAGACCGAAAAAAACAACAGATGCTGAACAGTTTGACATCATGGCATGGAAAATCATCTGAGTTGATTGAAAGTACATGAGACAGAAGGTTGTGGATAGACATGACTACCAATGCCATACGACGTGGACTTTGAGAAGAATTGAAAGTATTTGGAAGGGTGCCAGTGTAAGACTTGTCTGTGTGTACAATTTGTAACTGTTTGTGAAAATAAACTTAGCTCATTCCTTCATTTGTTCATATGCTACACAATTGTTAAGAAAAAGAAGTTGTCTATGAGGTATCCAGATTTCTTTAGCATGTCCTGTAGATGCCAAATGAGGAAGAGTCAGCTACTATGATAGACACTTTGTGCTAACTTTGTGTGAATTACTGATATCTTTGTTAAGATGCTTTATGCTAACTTTGTGTGAACTACTGATATCTTTGTTAAGATGCTTTATGCTAACTTTGTGTGAACTACTGATATCTTTGTTAAGATGCTTTATGCTAACTTTGTGTGAATTACTGATATCTTTGTTAAGATGCTTTATGCTAACTTTGTGTGAACTACTGATATCTTTGTTAAGATGCTTTATGCTAACTTTGTGTGAACTACTGATATCTTTGTTAAGACACTTTGTGCTAACTTTGTGTGAACTACTGATATCTTTGTTAAGACACTTGTTGCTAACTTTGTGTGAACTACTGATATCTTTGTTAAGACACTTGTTGCTAACCTTGTGTGAACTACTGATATCTTTGTTAAGATGCTTTATGATGAATACCGACACTTAAAAAAAAAATATACCCTATCTAAATGTATACTTTCAGACCAGCGAAGGAAGTCTGCCGCATGGTATGTTGGTTCCAGACATGGTAATGATGTCAGGATTCCCAGCCCACTACGGGGAAGGTGACATTCAGCAGACAGTAGCAGGAAGACTCAATATTACGGATAAAGCTTCTGTTATGGTATGGACGTTTTGTTTTTCCTTTTTAATTCTTCATTTGTGATCTTAGCCAACAGTTTTGCAGGAGAATCCTGCAGCAGCACATGCCAAGTCATATAATATACTTTGCCATTGTATATAGCTCACCTATGTCCTCCCTGACTTTTCCACTTCACTATCTAATTCCTGTCTCCATGTTTTTTAAGTCTTTCTTTATTCTTTTATGTATTGTAGTTTATATGTTATGTCAGGTATGACATGTTATGTCATATCAGGAGTGATATATGTTACATCATACACAATAAACCTGTTGCTATAAAATATTGCCTATTGCTTAGGCACAGATACATACATTAGTCATCCCCTTGTGGGATGCAATTTTTTGTTATTTCGAACCCCCCACCCTGGCTCTTGCCAGGGGCCTCAATATGGCCCGGCCATAAATATGATATAATGGCTGAACGCGGTTTATAGGACCTCTCCACTGGTTCTCATCCGCATGGTAGCAGTTTGTGTCATCTGGTGTTTATCGCTTGTGTGATGTCCTGGTGGGGTAAAGTGTACTACTACTACTAGACACAGATGTGTGGTGCTTTATTTCCTTTCCACACTTGTCATAAAATGTAATGTATAGTAGCAAATAAATTTACTATGCAGTTTTGATAAGATCTGCCCTAAAAGTTGAGATGACTGGTAGAAGGTGTGATTTAGTGAGTCTAGTTCACAGGCATGAGGGAAAGTAAAGGAACAGGTGAGAAAGTTATTTCAGGCAGGTTGTTGTAGATGCCAGTTATTCACATAGTTAAAAAGAATGACAAACCTGGAATCTTATAAAACCAACACATTATGATATGCAGAGCCACATACAAGGAATCAAATAGACAGTGCAACAGAACAGACTGACAATCCAATACGTTAAAAGACTAATTCAACAGGGGGGAGGGGGGAGGGGAATAGAAGTTCTAGAAGATAATCAACACTAAGGGGAATGTTGAATGTTGAATTAAGAATCAACATCACAGCACTGGGGATGCCCCCATATGCGCTCCGTCCCCATTTTCAGCAGCAAGCAAAGAGTTAAAATTCCGATGGTACCAGTAACTGTCTGACTGTATATCCATCTCGCCTTTCCCCAAAATTGTTTTCAACTCTTTGTGCCTTCTTCTGATGTTTTCTGTCCATGGTTGTAGCTTACACCCTCAGTCAACTCATGAGGGGTTGTTCTGTAAACTGTCATCACACTAAGGGTGAAAATACTAATTCAACAGGGGGGGGGGGGGGTGAATAAAGGTTCTAGACATTATTGAAATATTTAACACTAAGGGGGTTTTTACTCAAGTTGCAACTGGGACTGTTAGCTTGTTAACTCTTTGTTAGCTACTGAGAAAGGAGACGGAACATGTATGGGAATTTTCAGAGTGCAGTTATATCAGTTTATTCATTCATTCATTCACTCATGCAAGACTGCTCCCAGTCCACCTCATGCAGCATGAATTTACATTCACGATGGGAGCTGACTAAAGTAGCATCGATTTTTGGATCAGGTGGAACTAAAGAGATGCACTGTGCAGAACTCGTTGATGTATGATATTTACTCTGGTGCTCATTAGTTCACCCCCGAGTGAGTAAGTGATCTTCAACCCCACCAGGACCACACAATGTGTGATTAACACCATGTGACACAAAGTGCCACCATTCAGATAAGAATTTCCCCAAGCGTAAGTTCCAGAAACCTTGTTCAGTCGTTAAGTAAATATCAGTATCTCTAATGACAGCTGGGTTGGGGATTTAAAATAGCAAAAATAAATTACGTTCCATATTGATGGAGTTTATGACCACTCCCAAATTCTTTCATTCACTGAAAATAAATTATCTATATCTGCAAGTCTGTCTCTAGTATGAACTTCACTGTCTGTTGTAAATCAATCAGCGACCCATAAAGTTTGGCTTGCACTGGTATTTCTTCTCGTGGCCAAAAGTTTTACCTTGATATGTTGTACCTGGGACAGTCTTGGAGGACAGGATCTGTTGTCTCAGGTGCTAATCCATGTGTATGCATGGCTGATTTTCCAATCTTAAATTTTCTGTACATGTGGCTGCGAAGTCAATTGTGTCCTGTTGTAAGGCGTAGAATAATGACTTGCTCTGGTCTGACTCCAAATGAAAATAAAATGAAGATATGTATGAAAAAGGGCTATCTGCTTTGTCACCTAACAAAGTTAATTTCTCTTCAGGTGAAGCTGTATCCAGAGAAGGGCCTGGCTCTGTTGCAGATGATCCAGAGTTCCCATTATGACTTACTTATAAAAGTGAGTTATTTGCACACTTTGTTAAGGAAGATTTTTGACTTGTTAGGATTTCGTTAGATAATTTTATCACATTTAATTATAAGAATTGTATCAGATTTTTTAATAAGAATTTTATCTAATTTTGTTAGAAGTATTTTATCACATTTAATTCAAAAGAATTTATCACATTTTATTAGAAATATTTTTTCACATTTTATAAAGATTGTATCAAATTTATTTTGAAGAATTTATCTTAATTAATTGTGAAAATTTTAACATTTAATCTTCTTCTTTGCATTTACTGGCTGTAAATTCCGGCAGAAAGTTCTGGCTGTTTGTCTATCTCTTAACTTTAGCCCTGTTCTGAACCTCAGCGTTGCATGCCAATCAGTTTTACACATTTGACTTATTTGTATGCAGACTGTTGGTTTCTTGCTTCACAGGCATATGCACTCCGACTTCAAAGGACATTTAAAGAGGAGGATGTTTAGAAGGAGACATGTAACTAGTTTTATATTTAATTTTCGAAGTTTATAATGTTTTTACCATGTTTCTACAGTTTTTATGTTTGCATGTTACATTAACTTGTAATATACAATTATTTCCATGTTTTGTTTCTGATCAAAGTTATCATTATACCTAACCGTTTTGTATCGTTAGTGCCAGTTTTGCAGCTTCTCGTGATTTTTCTTGCATCACGGCATTGATAAGTTGCCGCTTCGCCCCTATAACAGCTTTAGTACTGTTTATAAGTGCATATTATGTAGATGGGCTGGGTAGAATTTGAAAAATATTTTGGGTGACAAAGTGCCGTTTTAAAAACAAAATTCATTGTGACATCATTTTATGCACTATGCTTACATGAAATTTTTTTTAAATGACCAAAGGGGATGAATGCAATTAATTCTCTGCTCAGTTTGTATTTGCTGATTACTCCATCCACTGGTGCAAATTCACAGCATATTTTAAGAGAAAATGCATTGTTGAAATACATAGTATACCCAAAGCAAACATAATCACTACATATTGACTGATGCACAAGAGTAATATCCAGTCATACATAGTGTATTATTTGTTAGCTAACCCATTCAGTCTCAAGGAATGCATCATACATTCATAGGTACCTACCTAGAAGCTCAGTCATTTATAATCCCTGCCCCCATCTGGGACGTATTTTTCGCTATTTTGAAGCCCAAGCCTGGTTGGTGCCGGGGACCTTAAAATAACCTAATGGTTGAACAGGGCTTCTGGGACCTCTCCATAGGTGATCCTCATCTGAATGGTGGCATTTTGTGTCACCGGGTGTTTATCGTTTAGTGTGATGTCCTAGTGGGATAAAAAAGCCAGGCAAGAAGCTCAGTGAACACAAGATGCGCATATTTCATGTCGATTTTGTATACATTTGGCCTTTGATGCTAAACCTCCTGGGACTGAGAGAGTTAAGAGCTGGTGACCAGAAGTTTAACGTTAGTTACTGTCATGCAACATAGGTGCAGTAATGTGTTTTGTATTTCCAGGGAAAGAACTTCACAATTGAAGGCAAAGAGCTGAGATTGTCCCCTGTTAAGTTAGTTTGGGACCTCAAATTTGTAAGTTTTAAATTCATGAATGCAGATGGTGTTATATGTGCTCACTTTATTTCTAGTGTCTGTAAATTAGAAAGACTTATTTACCTTAGAATATGTTTAAATTGAAAAAGATGGTAGGAAAAATAGAACTTATACTCGAGGAATATAAAGACAGCACATTGAACTCTTTCAGTACCAGCCAGTAATTAATGTAACTTTTCCACCTCAAGACATTCTAATTTAATCCTGAGAAAGCTGATTTTCTGACTTGTATGGGTATTTGATGACATTCTGTCTTTGAGCAGTGACCACTATACCTGTATAACAGCTTTTGTACTGGTTGATTGATTGATGTTTAACCACACCAGGTCTTCACACTGAGCGATAAACACCCAGGGACCTAAAGTGTCACCATTCAGATGAGGATCATCTATTGATAGGTCACAGAAACGCTGTTCAACCCGTAGGTTGTGTTAAATTAGGGCCTCTGGCAACAGGTGGGGGGGGGGGGGGGGGGGGGGCGATACCAATAATTGGTACTGGTTGCGTTTGCATAGTTGTATATAAGACACCTCTATTTTTCTGGTAACACGCCACTTGCCGTGTTCTGAATCTGCAGCTAACTCAAATCACCTTGGGTAAAATCAAAAAGCGTTCTAAATTAAATCTGCAGCTCATAGTGTTATGAACTTAACTTATAAAGCTGGGCGACAGAACTATATTTTTTGAGTCTACATATGAGGAAAATGCAACAACTAACCATTGTCAGAAGCAAAAACTCACCACAACTAAAAACATTAAAGCCTGCCTATCCACCATATTGACAGGAAGGTAGCAGAACTAATAACATATGCAGATGACAATCTAAAAGACCTCATGCTTCATCACATTCATGACATATACAAAAGTGGGATAAAGGCCAACACATATTTCAGTTTTAGTAAAGGGCTCTTTTCTATGCTTTTAGGCATATTGGGCATATATGGCTAGACCTTTATTTATAGACCATTCGGCACTCGGTGGTTGATGTGGTAAACATGATGTCAGATACCTTTACTTCTCAGGACTTTACCTGGTACCATTGAAGGCTGGTGGGACAGTGTAGGAGCCAAGGTGATTTTAGAAAAAGTCTGTTCACTTTTGGATTTCAGCCAGCGAACTTCAGATCTGCTGGCAAGCATCTAGCTGCTACACCATGGCAGATCCCCAGTTCTGTCTGGTATCACTATAATAAAAGTCCAATGCAGTAAAATGTGACCTGTTCCATATTATAACTTGGTTATTATATACCTAAAGAAAAAATGCTAAAGATAACCAGTGAAGAAAAGATGACACTACTGAGTCAAAATTATTTTGGGGTTTAAAGGGAGTGGTTAAGTAGAGATGAAACTGGTACATTGAGACTATTAGCAGAAAGAAGGATCACAAAGGGAATGGTTAACTAGAGATGTAGCTGGTACACTGAGACTGTATGCAGAAAGAAGGATCACAGAGGGAATGGTTAACTAGAGATACAACTGGTACATTGAGACTATTAGCAGAAAGAAGGATCACAGTGGGAATGGTTAACTTTAGGAACAGCTGGTATGTTGAGACTATTAGCAGAAAGAAGGATCACAGAGGGAATGGTTAACTAGAGATGTAGCTGGTACACTGAGACTATGCAGAAAGAAGGATCACAGAGGGAATGGTTAACTAGAGATACAACTGGTACATTGAGACTATTAGCAGAAAGAAGGATCACAGTGGGAATGATTAACTAGAGATACAACTGGTACATTGAGACTATTAGCAGAAAGAAGGATCACAGTGGGAATGGTTAAATAGAGGAACAGCTGGTAGATTGAGACTATTAGCAGAAAGAAGGATCACAGTGGGAATGGTTAACTAGAGGAACAGCTGGTAGATTGAGACTATTAGCAGAAAGAAGGATCACAGTGGGAATGGTTAAATAGAGGAACAGCTGGTATATTGAGACCAATAGCAGAAAGAAGGATCACAGTGGGAATGGTTAACTAGAGGAACAGCTGGTACATTGAGACTATAAGCAGAAAGAAGGATCACAGTGGGAATGGTTAACTAGAGGAACAGCTGGTACATTGAGACTATAAGCAGAAAGAAGGATCACAGTGGGAATGGTTAACTAGAGGAACAGCTGGTACATTGAGACTATAAGCAGAAAGAAGGATCACAGTGGGAATGATTAACTAGAGATACAACTGGTACATTGAGACTATTAGCAGAAAGAAGGATCACAATGGGAATGATTAACTAGAGATATAACTGGTACATTGAGACTATAAGCAGAAAGAAGCATCACAGTGGGAATGGTTAACTAGAGATACAACTGGTACATTGAGACTATTAGCAGAAAGAAGGTTCACAAAAGGATGAACTATATTTGTTTGCTTTACTGAGTGTGAAAAAGCATTTGATTAGATATCCTGAAACATGCTTTCAAGATCATAGAACAAATCAAATTGGAAAAACCTAGAACAAATAAGATTTGAAAAACCAGCCATTTTGTACTTAAAAAAAAGGGAGCATATCAGTTGAAGAAAACACAAAATTAACACCTGTTAGAAGAGAAGTGCATCAGGGATGTTTGCTTTCACCAGAATTTCTGAAGTTTATACAATTGAAGGAAACAACTTTAAGCTATAATAAAACAGAACAAAGCAGTATAATAACATTTTCAGATGACAAATCCAAATTAGGAGAAACAGAACTATCATTTCAGAAATTGTGCAGCACAATAATAAAAACAGAAATAAATTCACAGAAACCATAATAATAACAATAGCTAAGACTTTCCAAGCACTACGGCTCATATTGGAGCAAAATATAGACAGAGTTAATAAATTTATTGATCTCAAGTCAAAATGTAATGGAAAATGTTAAGTTTAAAATACTAATGCATGATAAGGCCCAAAAAAAATGCCTCCTGTTTTGGACTGATCTGTCTCATGGAAACAAAAACAATCAAACAAAACAGTTGGTAGGGACTAAGAATAAAAAGGGAGTTGTTGAAAGCAGTGAAAAGTAAATAAAAAAAAAAATGCAAGTGAAATATTTAGGCAACAGGAAAAGACATAACACTCGTTTAAAAAAGGATAATGAAAGGAAAAAACTGAAGACAAACGAGCAAGAGCCAGCAATACAAATCTGAAGATAACATCAAGAGAAGAAGGAACAGCGGTCTCAAAGGGTTTAGTCAGGGCAAAGACAGTGTTGGAGATCCATTGCAGCCAACCTTAGCTCTTAGCTCTTTCAGGCCCAGAAATGTTTGACAATAAATGCCCAAGGGGGGTAGATAGCCAGTAACAAACATAATGAGTATAATATTTTTGAAGAGAAAAATTACACAGTGAATATTATAATTTAAGACACCAGGTTTCTTTTGTCAAAAACCAACTACCAGTTAAGTTTGTTGCATATCCTTTACAGGACAATGTAGAACCAAACCCAGCATTTTTTTTGGCTGTTGTGGTTTTTCTAGGCAAATTTTATGTTCACTAGTTTGCCATTGCTTTTTGAACAATCAGCTCTTGTTACCAATGTTGAAACCAATGCAAGACAAACCGTCTGCAGCTGGGATTGAACCTGGCATCCTGGCATTACGAAGCATGTTTGCAACGCCTAAGCCACAGACACCTACAACTGCCAGTACTGCCTGTATTTACCACTTCAGATGTGTCTTTAAGCCTGGGAATGTAGGGCTGTTTGGCTAGTGCAGTCGCCACGCACTGTGCAGCTTAGGATTAAATTTGTGTTCTTACAGAAAAACCCTCATGATGATTCAAACAAACTTGGTCTGCAGCATGAGAGCCCACTGTTCTTATTAATTAGGCCAGCCATCCTCTTCTTTGGTATGCTCTAAAAAAGTCGGGTAATGTGAACCAGCGTCGTTGCACATGGTTATAAACCATAAGTGCTCTGCCACCAGTACATACAGTTGATAAGAAACTCTGTAGTACCCTTTACCTAGAGGCTGGGCGAACTCCGGGAACCACCCAGTTTTGAACACAGGCCGTGGGCTGCAGACTTTGGTATGTTCTGACTAAATTTAATATCTGCTAGAACACTTTACATAATTGTTAGGAATCAAAGGCTAGGAACAAGTCACACATCAGACATTGCGTAGGACTGAAAAAGATAATTGTAGAGTCAGTCCTTATACATTCATTGATTGCTTGGATTGAATAATATAACAGTTTTTTTAGATTGTTGAATATAGACTAAAGTTTTTCTAGTGTTTATGCTTTATTTGCTAAGAAACTGGGGGGTAATTATTTACCTTTAATTTCAGGTTGTAACTGACGATGTTGTGGCTGCAAGTAGGTTTGAAGATAATGAGGTAAGCAGAGGTATAAATACCTTTGATTGGTTTCAGACAAGATGAGAGTGTTGTGGTGATTTAGGTCACTGGTTTGAAGGAAAGTTAAGGCCGTTGTGATGTTTACAAGGAGATACTCAGTAACTTGCCTTGGGCGCTAACTGGCTCTGTACTGTTTTTACGAATGCTTATGCATGACTCCTGCCACACATCCTCCTAAGGATAATGGCCTGTATCGGCCTAAACTGAGCTGGCAGGAGATTTCAGAGATGGTGGACCCAGAAATGCAATGCACAGACACCCTTTGGCACTTGTCAGCTCCCCCCCCCCCCCCCCCCCATGCAGGATTGATAACATACAAACTCATTTGGATCTTGAGTTAAATCTGCTGGCTGAGTACCCTACTGACGCCTGCGGTTGGGGATAACACAGACCGCTTGCAAAGTATCTATAGGATTGTTTATAAATGCCAGTCCTCCACACATACACACAGGGTTCCCTCAGCTGACAAACCATAGCTGCCCACTTTCCTTGGGATGGCAAATGCTGATGGTGGTAAAGGAAGGCCAACCCAGACAGGAGCAGCACAATAAGCCAGACACAAATTACTTGTCCTGTCATAATCACTAACATTGTCTACGAGTACTGTAATGTAATACACCACACCACAGAGGTCAACGCTCTCATCAGTGAAAATTCATACGAAGCAGATGCACTAATCTATACAGACGGATCCGTTATACGCCAAAGAAGAAGCGCATGGACATTTACAGCACGCTCAGCGGGCAGAACAGTCAAAGAAGCCAACGGCGCCTTCTCCATGACAACCAGCAGCATGACGATGGAGGTGATGGCATTGACGCAAGCGTTTGCCTGGCTTGAAACACAAAAAATACACCTGCGTATGTATACTCAGTGATTCAATGAGTATGATCCGGAGGGTTCAGGCAAGTTCAGTGCGAAGACAATGGCTTGAATCATTACAGAAGTCTACTGTGCATGGAGTCACCTTTATTTTTGTTCCGGGAAATGCAGGCTTCGATGGAAATGAAAGAGCTGACAGGTTGGCTGGATCCACTATCACTACCGACGGTCAGCCTACGGATCATGCTGATATTATCAATGCCCTCAGAGAAATGGGAAGGATAGAGGACTTTGGTGGCAGTGAATCCACATGACTGGCCAGAATGGCAGACTTGGGAATTAAGATCGGCACATCAAAAAATGAGACGCACACCAGACACGCCAGAAGTCTTGTTAATCAACATAGAACTGGTACTATTAGCCATTGTACATTGGGGTTCATACTGAGAGGAGGATCTGAGCACCTATGGAAATGTAGAATGAGGAGACATGTGGGTCCGTGAATATGAATAGCTGTGGAATGCTGCAATAAGCTGCTTTGCACTAAGCTGTTTTACATTCACTCGTTGTCTAAGAGATGATATGTGTAGTGAATGCTCTTAGCACACATTCTACGTTGACATAACTAGGACAAGCCGACACCGACTTAGCCTTACGAAACATCAGTTTATTGACATCTTAGAACTTACATCATCATCCAGTCGTTGTCCTAAGAAACTGCTTTCACACAGCACATCACGCAGACTTCAACATGCTGGTTCCTCACGCAGTCACTGACCAGAGTTTGCACAGATGTATCTGGTTCATCTTCTTGACATTGAACAGACTGGCCTGGCTGGTTTTGGCTTCAAACGTCGTCGTCTGGTTTTCCCTTTCACATCAAGCAATCTCACGTTGACATTCTTACAATCAATCTCCTGTCCTTTCGCTCCGACAGTTCAACACATACTGACTTGATCAGACTAGGGTCCATATTTATACTACAGGTTAGTTTCACATGGCAACACGTGGTGGTCCTTTATTTCCATGTGGCAACCTGTGGTCGCTATCATCGTGTTATACCTTATACTACGGGTTAGTTTCGCGTGGCAACACGTGGTGGTCCTTTATTTCCATGTGGCGACCTGTGGTCACTATCATCGTGTTACACATGATAACTCGTGGTCATCACCTATCTTGAAAACCTCGGTTAATCCTAGTATCTGGAATATCTCGGTATTTTGGTTAACCTTGGGCTTCCCCCCAACCTTCATAATCTGGGTGAAAATATCCACCATTACAAATGCCAAGGGTCGTAACTCAAGAATTATTAGATGAAACTGTGTTGACATTTCAGTTCCCTGGAAGTAAGAGTTCCTTAAGTGAAAAATAAAGCAGTTTTCAAGAGGCGTGTGGACTCTGTCGCTGGAATGGCTAGATTTAAAGGGAATTGGAGTCTCAGGTCTGCAGATTGCTCCCTGGCTATCCCTAAAGGTCACAGCCTGTAATGAGCTGAAGGCTCAGTTGATGGAAGTGTGGTTAAGCAGTCATGTGCAGGACAGGACGATTCCCTGGGTAAGCTTTTTATCAGAGTGCCATATATTGGCTCTGCATTTTGGAAGCCTCCTTGGATGGTGAGGAGTGCCCATGCTTTGCCTATGCAGGGTCGTCTATGGCTGTCCTGGAGGGTCCTGTAGAGACAACACCTGTTTTGATCAGGGAATTATGAAATCAACACCCATATGAAACTGCAGAAGTCCCATGAAACTAACTGGGAAGGCTAACTTGGATAATAAATGCTCGGAGAAGTTCTATTTGTCAGCTGGTAGGCGCAAATGTTGCAGCTATGCTGTAAACAGGTACAGTTTATTTATGTCACTCGGACAGTTGATGAAGAAGACAATAAAATAAGAAAAATGTGAGGAAAATGCAAAGAATACTTTCTTTTTCCTCCTTTTCTTCTTCTTCTTCATTTTCTTCTTCTTCTTCAGCATTCAAAGCCTTGAGACTCATTGCTCTAGATATTAATTGTCTCCATTCATTTCTCCAATTGGCTTTCTCTTACCATTTCTTGACTCCAAGTGTTTGTAGCTCTGTCTGTATTTTATCTCTCTTCTTGATCTTCCTTATGGTCTACTCCCATTCAGCTCATTTGTGTACACAGTTTTTGTTTTTGTTATCTGCCATTCTCTCTATAAACCCTAACCCTCACTGTCTATAAGCCTTCCTGGTGCCAGTTATCAGTGGTGATTTAAACAGATTATGAATTCCACTGTTACCTCCTACTCTCTATTCCTTGCTGTTGGCATCTTTGATGGGTAACAGAATTTGTAATAAAAAGGCTTTGTATCTTTTAGCTGCACTCCAGGTTTCAGAGCCATATAAAACAAAGTGCTCTTACCAGTGTTTTATATCTTGTCATATTGTTGTTAATCCTTTGATCCATAAACTGAAGAGTTGCTTTTCTAACTTGCATTCTCACAGGATTTACTATAATATGTTTGGGAGAAATTTATTTTTTCAACGGTTCTTCTTCTTCTCTTCTTCCACAATTTACCTCAGCGAGGTGTTAGGGGAAGATATAAGGATCATTTGTGCGCTTTTTCCAATGCATAGCACAAGTTGGTGTTCATTTGTGTTAGGTTGCTCCTGATGATGTCGCTCCATCTCTTGCATGGTCTTCCCCTTGCTCTGTGTTCATTATATTTCTTCAGTGTGACTCTCTGTAGCAGTTGGTACCAGGGCATTCTTGTCAGGTGGCTAAACAATCTTATTTGTTGTTCTTTAATGAATTGTATGACTGGTTTCAGTCCTAGTCTTCTTCTTCATTCCTGATTCCTGTGATTTATTAACGGTAGAGTCATTAAAATTTCATCTGACTTTGTTGAAAAATTGACCTTTTTTAAATGATAAAATACCAGCATTTTGTCAACATGTCCGATAATGCTAAAGATAATATTGAGCTTTCTTTAATATTTTGTAATATTTAACAGGAACTCCGTTATTCTCTGAGGTCTATAGAGCAGTTTGCACCTTGGGTCAGGCGCATCTTCATAGTCACCAATGGCCAGATTCCCTACTGGCTGAATCTGGATAACCCACGTCTGACGATTATCACACATGATGTAAGTTTTTTTTTTTCATTTTTTATAATTTAAAATAATCAGAGACAGAAATAATGAAATACAGTGCTGTAGTACTGTCTGAAACTCTATGGCCTAGGGGTTGGAAATGCACTTTCACAATCTTGACATACCAGTGTTCAAAGTCAAGCGGTTTGGTAGCAGACTGCTTTGCAGTCTAGAAAGCAATAGAGAACTACTGAACATAAAATTGCCTAGTAAATCCACACACAGAACCAATAAATCCTGGCTGCAAAGTCATGAAGAAGATTTACAGCTAACTTCTAATTGTGTGAAAATAATGTTACCTCTAATGAGAAGAGATTTTATTATTTGTAGTGAAACCTATTTTATAATTAAATGTCAGCGTCTATGGCTTAGGCGTTGCGAATGCGCCTCACATAAATTTGCCTTGAAAAACCACAACAGCCAGAAAATGCTCGGGTTGGTTCTGTAACGTCCTATAAAGGATACTCAACTAACTTTTTTATAATTAAAAGATTGGCTACAAAGAGACATAAATGTATATAGAGAATAAAATGATGGTAGAGTGAGAGAGAAGTTGAGAGCTTTATAAATGTTGACAAAATTAAGTGCTGGTTTCTGCAAGAAGACGGTCTTCAAATTGTTTTATCAGTGAGAGACTGAGAGGAGCAGAAAGGTAGGATGAATGAGTGGAGAAAGAGAGAGAAAGAGAGAGAGAGAGAGAGAGAGAGAGAGAGAGAGAGAGAGAGAGAGAGAGAGAGAGAGAGAGAGAGAGAGAGAGAGAGAGAGAGAGAGAGAGAGAGAGAGAGAGAGAGAGAGAGAGAGAGAGAGAGAGAGAGGGAGAGTTCATAAAACATAAGTTCACTGTAGTCAAGACGCTCAATATAAAGTATAAAACTATCTTCTACCGCAGGAGATCTTCCTCAACTTAAGCCACCTGCCTACGTTCAGTTCGCCAGCCATTGAAGCAAACATCCACAGAATACCTGGCTTATCTGATAAGTTTCTCTACTTGAATGATGATGTCATGTTTGGTAGTCCAGTTTGGCCTGACGATTTCTTCACTCATTCAACAGGACAGAAGGTTTAAAAATAATATATGCTTAATTATACAATTTTTTATTGTTAAGTATTTTGGTCATATCAAGCAACATGGAGGATTGAAAAAATAATAATAGCAGAAGGCATACTACTTGGAAGGAGGGGCAGGAGCTGACCAACAAGAAGATGGGCACTGGATGTAAGTGTCTGTGCGCTAAAAAGAATGTGGCATGAATACGTTGGAATTCTGTACACACAACAACAAAAGAACACTTACATTTTTTAGCACATACTGCAGTACTGCCCTATCTTCTCCCAGCAAAGACTGTGGATCTGGCCCAAGGGAGCCACATTGCAAGAGAAGCTATGGGGGACTGGTGGCAACCTTAAACACACAATCCTGTTTGTGACCCAGGCAGGACTCAATGTTTAGCATGTCTGATGTCGAACGCAGAAGAAGAAAAAATCTTGGCTTTAAAAAAAAAGCTATTTGGCTCAAAGAAAAACTCCCCCTAATTTCTATTTTTAGTTAATATACTTATATTCTGACCTTCTAAACATTTATGCAGGAATGAAAACAGCCAATATCATTAACTATACATCTCATTAAAAGGTCACATTAGACAAGAAAAAAGAGACATTTATGGGTAATAGGCCCCACCAGAAGTGTTGGTTTTGCAGTTTGCCATGGCGAAAGTGTTAAAACTTCACTTGCCTATGTGTTGCCAGGGCCTGTAAGTGAAACTAAAGGTAAAAAAAAAAAAAAAATTTAACCCATCAAACATATTGCTGCCTGTGTGGTTTCTGGGGCACCAATTAAAGGGGGCAGAAAGAATAGACCCACATCTCCCTAGCAAGCAGCTGTAAAAGATGAAGCAATGTGAAATTTTTAGTGATTAGATTTATAGTTAATTGCGGCAGGCTGATCGGTTAGAATGCTGGGCTCTCAAGCCAGAGACCCGGGTTCAAATCCTGGGTAAGGCTGGGGTATTTTTTTCTGTCGGGGGCAAAATAAAATCTCCACCTGCACAGTCCTAGTGACAGCACTAGCCATGTGGCCTTAAATCCTCAGGCTCAAAAGGCCCCCGGCAGACTACACTGCAAAAGCAGTACAATAAAGGCAGTCATTGACAGTTTTTGTGTGTGGCAGATTTATAATTAATTGTAGTGATTAAAAAAAATATATATATATAAAATCATTCATTTATGTAATTGTTAATGTAGTAGGCACCTGACAAGATACAGTGACATAAGCCAGGCAAAAAATGGTGCAATCTGTTGTCTCTTTGTTAACAAAACAAAAAAAAAATAAGTTTTCAGTCTTATGGCTGAATAGCCTATTCTTAAATGACAGTAGTCTCATAAATGTTGTTTACCTCTCCAGCTGTACTTAACTTGGCCTGTCCCAAACTGCAACGAAGGCTGTCCTTCAACCTGGATCCGGGACGGCTACTGTGACCGAGCCTGCAATTCTTCAGAGTGTGACTGGGATGGTGGAGACTGTACTGGTAAGCACGCTGTTTTTACTTATTTATTTGAGTTAAGAGTTAGATTATCTTCACAGCACTCCGGACACATCCATAGGTGCTCATATTCCCCTCTCAACATATTCATCAGCGTCGTGCGGTTAATAATGCCAGTCGTATGTTGGTTAACAAGACTTTGTGTGCGTCAGGTGTGCTTCTCATGCTTGGTTGTGCCGATCTTTACTCCCAATCCTCGTATTCTTAGCGGTGATGTGGACACGTTGCTTCAAAAATCCTCAGAACATCCTATCTCTCTAAGGGCAATGACAATGTCTGTGTGATCCATGGGCCGGCCATCTTCAATTATTGCAGCACCTGCCAGTCTATCAGCTCTTTCATTACCAACAACGCCTGCATACCCTGGAACGAATATGAAGGTTACTGCACACACAGGAGAGTTTTGCTATGACTCAAAACACTGTCTGCGTAACCAGCCTGCCTAGAACCACTGGATCATGCTCAAAGAATCACTCAGAACACACGCGTGAATAGTCCTGTGATTCTAGCCAAATGAAAGCTTGTGTCACCGCCATCACCTCCATCGTCATTATGCTGGTAGTCATGGAGAAGGCACCACTGGCTTCTTGATGTTCTGGCTGAAGAGCGAGCTGTAAATGCCCATGCACTCTTTTGTCCATTTATTTATTTACTGACTTTAAAAATATTTTATTTTTAAATTTTATTTTAATTAAGTGATATATGGAAGTCTGGATTTCCAATCTTTCTTATTCTTCTTGATTTGACTCTGTAATTGACATTGATAGCACTGTGTCCATACTTAGTGACAACTGGCAGATTTGATGGTAAAAGCCCAAAAGACAGTCAGGGATATAAAAACCTAGAAGGCTTTCCATATGGCGTAATCAGGACAAGAACACAGACCTGGCTGGGAACTGGTGACCAGGTAAATCAGGGCTATTCAACTAAGTTTGCACAGGGGCAAAATTGTGAAACTATGGATCATCACGGGTCAGATGCCCAAAGTCCAGCATAGAAGGACATTTAATTCAATAAAACGGGACAATGATCCACGGGCCACTTGCTAGGTCTCCATGGGCCAGATCTGGCCTGTGGGCCGCAAATTGAATAACCCAGATGTAAATGGTTGACAAAGATAGTTCACTTATAAGCATAGCACGTTTTGATGTTGTTATTGTTCTGAATTTTCTTCTACTTTCTTTCTTCTTCTTATTTTCTAAAGTGTTACATAAGAATGTAGCCAGCGGTATGCTGATGATAAAGTTTTGATCACTGAAAATGAAACACATCTGCAAGATATGATGGATATAATTGTAACGGAAAGTGAAAACAAGGGTCTTAGTTTGAACAGCAGAAAAACAGAAGGAATGTTAATAAAAATGAAAACTGACCCTCCAAACTGCAATAAAGTAAATAGGTAAAGCTCAAGCAAGTTGATATGTTTAAGTACTTGGGTACCCTGATAACATCAGATGGAAAATTTATTAAGGAAGTTAAATGTCGAAACATGCCAAACTTACAGTCATCCAATGCTACGCACCGACTAATGAAGCTGAAGATGAAGATAAAGAAACATTCTATAGGAGACTGCAAGAGGTAGTAGATAAAGTACCAGCCCATGATATTCTATGCATTATGGGAGATCTCAATGCAAAAGTTGGTAACAACAACTTGAATAGAGAACTATCAATGGGAAATCAAGGATGTGGTACAATTAATGACAACGGGGAAAGACTGAGCGACTTCTGCACGGCGAATAGACTTGTTATAGGAGGAACACTATTTCCTCACAAGAATATACACAAGCTTACATGGATATCCCCAAACAGAAGAGATGTAAACCAGATCGACCATTTCATGGTAAACAGAAAATGGCGTGGGTCCCTACTTGATGTGCGTGTCAAAAGGGGAGCAGATGTGGGAAGCGATCATCACCTTGTAGTCACTCTACTACGACTTAAACTCAAAAAAAGTTTACACGCAAGTTTAGACACAGACAGCACGTTACAATGTTAACCTTTTAAGAGAAAAAGACATTGCCACTAAATTTATAGTAGAACTCAAGAATAGATTTCAAACCCTGTCAAGTGACCCAGAAACTCCAACTACAATCAGCATTCAAGACAGATGGAACCAGATCAAAGAAACATACAAATCAACTAGCAATAACATATTAGGAACCAGGAAACAACACCACAAAGAATGGATAAGTAGCCAAACCATGGACTATATTGCCAAGCGAAAAAGAATAAAGAGCCTCATAAATCACACTAAATCAGAACGTCAGAAAGACAAACTAATGTTAGAATATAGCGAACTAAATAAAATGACCAAGAAAAGTGCCAGAGCTGACGAGAAGATTTATGGAAAATCTTGCAGAAACAGCAGAAAATGCTGCTAAAGCACATGATCTACAAACCCTACACAAAATTACCCAGCAAATTTGCGGAAACAGAAACAATTATCACAGCATACCCATCAGAGATAACCAAGGCAGACTGCTCACAACAGAACAAAAACAAGACATGCAGTGGACTAAACACTTCTCCGACCTGATCCTGAAAATCCCTCAGATATTCAACCAGCCTCTCAGGACATTGACATTATTACCCAACCACCAAGCAAACAAGAAATCCTTAAAGCTATCCACACTTTAAAGAACAACATAGCACCAGGCAAAGACGAACTGCCAGCAGAACTTCTCAAAGTAGATCCCAACACAACTGCTAGCATTCTAGAACCATTGTTCAAAGATATTTGGGAAAAAGAAGTGTTGCCTGATGACTGGACTGAAGGAACAATAGTCAAAATCCCCAAAAAATGAGACTTAACAGACTGCAATAATTGGAGATGAATTACTCTACTCTCAGTACCAAGCAAAATATTTTGTAAAATCATCATAATGCGGCTTGAAAAAGGAGTAGATAAATGCCTACGAGTGGAACAAGCAGGATTCAGAAAGGGCAGAGGAACAACTTAGCACATCTTTGTCATACGTAACATTTTAGAACAATGCAACAAATGGCAGAGAAGTATATATATTAATTTTGTGGACTTTGAGAAAGCTTTTGACAGCGTCCATAGAGACGGTCTGTGGACAATTTTACGACATTATGGAATTCCAGAAAAAATAGTCAACATAATTGCTCTCTTCTATAAAGACTTTTCCTGCAGTTTAAAAAAATTACAATACATCTTTCCCAGTAAAGACGGGTGTAAGATAGGGATGTGTTATGTCATCTCTCCTCTTCAACCTTGTGATTGATTAGATACTAAAGAACACAGTAGACAGGACATTAAGAGGCATACGATGGACTCCATTCACCATGCTTGAGGACCTTGATTTTGCAGATGGTATAGCACTCCTATCACATAAACATGAACATATACAAGAGAAAAGTAACAGACTAAACTGCACAGCAGAAATGGTGGGACTGAGAATAAATACAAAGAAAACTAAGATCATGACAAACAGTCCAAACCAACAATCAGAAACCATAAATGACTAATCACTTGAAAATGTAGAACATTTCACATATCTTGGCAGTGTGGTGTCCCTACTGGGAGGGACAGAGGAAGACATACAGTCACATCTGAACAAAGCTAGAGCTGCTTTTGGAAGGATGAGGCAAATCTGGAAATCCAACAATTACTGCAGAGGAGCGAAACTCCGACTCTACAAGAGCATCATTTTGCCAGTTCTTCTCTATGGAGCGGAATGCTGGAGAATGACCAAAAAGGATGCACACAAGCTGTCCACCTTCCACCACACATGTCTACGTAGAATTATCAAAATTTTCTGGCCAGATACAATCTCTAAACTACTTCAAGCCACAAACCAAGAAACTGTAGACAGTACCAAGAGAAGATGAAAATGGCTTGGCCACATTATGAAAATGATATCTGATATACCTGCCAAAACAGCTCTCACATGGACACCAGAGGGAAAGAGAAAACAGGGGCACCCAAAAACAACATGGAGACGAACGATGGAAAGTGACCTGAGTGCGGCATCTTTGACATGGAAAACTGCACTAAAGATTGCACAGGACAGGAAAGCATGGAAAGACCTCTCTGAAGCCTCATGTGCCACTAGGCATAAAGAAAACTGATGATGATGACTGATAAATGTCGAATAGCTCAAGCAAAAGCAGCATTTTACAAAATGAAGAATATTTTATGCAGTCTTTCTTTGTCAATTGAGGCGAGAAAGAGAATTCTTAAAAGCTTTATAAATCCTATATTGAATCACTGACAGTAAATTATTTAAAACTTATTTGGAAGCTGCGAAGATGTGGTTTTATAGATGAATGATGAAAATACCCTGGACATATAAAAAGAGTAATGAAGACGTCTTGAAAGAAACTGACTAACAAAGAGAACTGAATACCAACATCAGAAAAAGACAAAATATATTCTTTTATCATGTGGTGAAAAGGAGGAAATGGGAGTATATTGTGACGGTAGGAATGTTGGATGGGAGGAGAGGCAGAGGGCGACCAAGAGAACAGATGATGGAAAGTTTGACATCAAGGCATAGAAAATCATCTGTATCAGAGTTGATCGAAAGTACACGAGAAAGAAAAAGAAAAACAGAAAAAGAATGTGAGAATGCTAAAATACATGACGATCCTAAAGGATATGATGTTATTCTTCTGAATGTAAAAATTTGTTTACAATGTAAGAATGCTGAAATTCCTAATGATCCTGAAGTAACAAATAAATGAGTACTATTTGACATTCTTTCCTTGTGGGTTCCTGGACTTCATTCTGTAAAAAAAAATTTTCATTCAGAACAAGGGGTCAAAAATAGAGAAAAACCAGAACTTTTCAACTGATTTACGCCGGGATCCAAGAGGAAAATGGGCCCCCAGGGGGCAGGGGGGCTTGAACCGGGAAACCCAACGTTCAGGGGACCGGGTGGTAAGACAACAACCACGCCCCCAAACTGACAAGGACGGGGAAGGACAAAGTAGAAAGAAAATGCTGAAGAAAGTCGGAAAAACTTTGGCAAACCTCCCAATCACACCTCATATAGGGCAAAAAAATTTGAAAGTCGAAGAAGCTAGAAAACAAAGAAAAAAAAAGATGACTAAAGCGAAATTGGGTTATTGTGCAGTCCCAACTTTTTACCCCGAGTTTTTAATTTAAAGTTTTTTAATTGGGTTTCCTTTAAATCCCACCCAAGACGTACAGGGCAGTCCCAAAATTTTAGAGGGGGTAAGAATGGCTTTCCCCTTTTGATCTTTTTAACGACCCCAAAACATACAGAACACCCAACTCCAAACCCCCAAACCCCCCACCCCACGAGAGAGGCAGCCCAGGCCCCCAAAAGGGACAGCCTGTCGCCACTTCCCGAAAAATTAAATTTTCCCTGACCTGGGATTTCCCTGTTTGGGGAAAGGTTTAAAAAGCACTGATTCCCTTTGTCGGATTTTTGGGGAAACCAACCCCCGCATTTTTTTGGTGTTGTGATTTTACTATCAATTACATTTAAGTTTTCATTGTCCCGACGGGACTCTCAAAACCTCGTCAAAAACAGTGCAAGCAGTCTGTTGCCCAAATTTTGAGGCTGGAATGAAAAAGTATCTTGGAATTATTCATAACGCCAAGCCCCACATGCCCACTAAATGTTTTGGTTTTATTCAAAAGGCATTTGGCGGAGCTCTTTTTAGAGCTTGGCAGTTCAGCAGCAGTGGCAAAAAAAAAAAAAAAAAAACAGCCAACAAACCAGGGTTTGGTTTTTACTCAGTAAAAAAAAATATAAGCAACGANCAGAATACCATCATCAGATAAAGACAAAATACATTCTTTGATCATGTGATGAAAAGGAGAAAACGGGAGTACATTGTGACGGTAGGAATGTTGGAGGGGAGGAGAGGCAGAGGGAGACCAAGAGAACAGATGCTGGAAATTTTGACATCAAGGCATGGAAAATCATCTGTATCAGAGTTGATCGAAAGTACACGAGAAAGAAAAAGAAAAACAGAAAAAGAATGTGAGAATGCTAAAATACATGACGATCCTAAAGGATATGATGTTATTCTTCTGAATGTAAAAATTTTTTTACAATGTAAGAATGCTGAAATTCCTAATGATCCTGAAGTAACAAATATATGAGTACTATTTGACATTCTTTCCTTGTGGGTTCCTGGACTTCATTCTGTAGGTTGGTGGGGGGGATAAGCCGACTTCCTCCATAACAAGCATGTAGTACAAGGTGACTAATTAAGAAGTTTCTTTTGAAGTCAGAGTAAATCAGCCTAAGAGGTGATGAACCATCAGTCTGCATACAAATAAGCCAGATCTGTAAAATGGATGTAAACACAAAACTTCAGTTCAGGAACAAGACGTCCAGAAATAGATGAAAAACCAGAACTTTTCAACTGAGTTTACAGCCGGTGAATGCCAAGAGGCTTAAAATCGGCCACCATGGCAGGCATGGGAGGCTTAGAACCAGGGAACCAGACCTTCAGGGTGACCCAGGTGGTAAGACAACAACCGACAGTCCCTCACTGACAGAGGACTGGAATGGAGCAAAGTCAGAAAGAAAACTGCTGACAGAGAAGTCTGACGATCACTCTGGCAAACCTCCAATCACACCTCATATAGGAGCAACAAAATTAGTAAGTCAGTAAGAATGCTAAGAAGACAAAGAAAAAGAAGACTGACATGAAAGCGAAATTGGGTTTATTGTGCTAGTCCCAAACTTTTATAGCCCAGTAGTTTTACATTTTAAAGTTATTTGTATATCTGGTTGCTCATTAATATCCCACCCCAGATGACGTCACAGGACAGTCCAACATTTTAGAGGGTGGTAAGACCGGCTTTCCCGGCTTTCTGATGCTTTTAACGACCCCAAAACATACAGAACTGACCCTAACTCCAACCCCAACTCACCTACGTCCCACGAGAGAGTGCAGCCTAGGTCCCACAAATGCATGCAGCCTGTCTGCCACTTCCTGAAATATTAAATTGTCCCATGACCTGTGGATTTCCCCTGTTTGGGAAAGGATATTAATAAAGCACTGTATATCCTTTGTCGGATTTTGGAGAAACCAACCCTAGCATTTTTTGGCTGTTGTGATTTTACTATGCAATTTTACATTCAGTAGTTTGTCATTGCTCCTGAACGGTCAGCTCTCAATACCATCGTCAAAATCAGTGCAAGGCAGTCTGTTGCCAGATTTCAGATGGCTGGAATAGAATAAAGTATCTTGGAATTATCTCGTAATGCCTAAGCCACACATGCCGACTACATGTTTGGTTTGATTCACTACAGGCAGTTTGGCAGGAGACTTCTTTTTATGAGCTTTGGCAGTTCAGCAGCAGTGGCAAACTACTGGAAACAGCCAACAAACGCAGGGTTGGTTTGTATCATCATGTAAAAAAAAATATACAGCTAACTATAGCTAACGGGTATACCAATTGGAGCCATGCAGGCGTTACATCAGCCAGAACAGAATGAGAGTTGTTAGCCTGAAAACACTTGGAGACATACTCAGGGAGAGATCGGAGCACTTATGGTCATGTCCCATGTGCGATGAAGAAGATCTCAAAAATGAACAATGAACAACGGGAGCCAGACATTTTTTTCCCAAAATGACCTTGGCTCCCATGTCAACTCGACCCAGCCTTAAAATGGGTAGCAGGTGAAGTCCTGGGAAATAAAGGTGGCCGATGTGATTTTGGCAACATCACCCACCGAGTGCCGACTGGTTAATAAAATATAGGTCTAGCACTATATGCCCAATGTGCCTGGAAGCATTGAAAGGGGTGTCCTTTACTTTATAGTTAATGGGAATATTAATTAAAACAAGTCAATTTGGTTCATTTTAATTGAATTTCACTGAAAGCCAAGATCCCTTTTTATGTCTTGGGCACATCGGGCATATATGAGAATTTCACTTTAAGTGAAGATCCCTATTTACGCCTTAGGCACATCGGGCATATTTGAGAATTTCACTATAAGATGGTCATTTTTCTTTACAGGATCAAAGGGTCAAGTGCAGCTTGGAGCAGGGTTCCATGGAGACCATGGCCGCTTCCTGACTGATTTAGTGTGTAAGTTTTTGTGTTTTATCTTCTTCTTCATCTTCTTTTTCTTTCTTCTCCTCCTCCTGTTCTTCTTATTCCTCTTCCTCTTCTTCTTCCTCTTCCTCCTCCTCATCTTCTTCTCCAGCATTCCAAGCTTATCAGATTCATTGCTGCAGATATCACTGTCCTCATCCATCTCTATGATTGGCCTTCTCTTTCCGCTTAGTGAACAGTAACACAGGGGCTCTGATATTTTATTTTAGGTAAACATTAGCTTATATTCACACCAGAAGTAGATGTTTAAATCTGACTTTGCTGGTAATGTTAAAATCAGAAGTTGCCATGGACTGTGTTCCTGGAAAGCCAAGAAGGGAAGTGGAACAATAAAACAATATTTATTGCAGATAGGTTGAGAAGAAGCACACTAAATGCATGTCTTCTTCTTCTTCTTCTTCTTGTTCACCGGCTGTGAATTCCGGCAGAAAGTCATGGTTGCTTGTGTCCATTTGGACTTTGGCTTTTTAGCAGGACCTGAGTCTTGCGTGGACATTCGTGTTTGTTCCCTGCCTGTCAGGCAGATGTAATCTGACTTCGAAGAAATAAATACATGTGATAGCAGCAATGAACCTGAAATCCCATTCTCTAATTGTCGGAGACTTGTCTTAACTCTACCACACCGCTGTCCCGATTTTTCTGGAATTTGCGTACCGCGTTATAAAACGTGCCACAGACTAAAAATAACCAAGTCATGATCAAACCTTGTGGTTAGCGAATAGCTGCCCACGTGTGTTTGGATTTACTTTGTGTAGTTTAACGTGATAAAATTCTGAAAATTCACCATGAAACGAGCAGCTGATGAACCAAGCATTTCGACAGGAAAGTAAAGTAGGTCAAGGCTTTTCACAGTCCAATACGTGATCGATACTTTGGTTGAGTCAGACTCTGAGGAGTCAGAATTTCATGAAGAATACGTTCCCAGTTGGGGTGAAACAGTCAGTGTGAGCTCGAATGATGAGGAGAATCTTGAAAATGATAGATCTAGAACTAGATCGATAGTAAGAGAAGGGGGCGTATCCCTCAAACAGCAACATCTGGTGCTCACTTTGTGAAACAAGGCTGATCCTACTGGGTGGATTGGCACACAAAGGTTGAATATTGGAATGAAAGGTAAACCTATTTTCTACAATGTCTCAAGTTTCATCTTATTCTAACCACTTGTTTACATGTAACTAATATTTTGTATATCTTGTTGGTTTTTTTCACGTTAAAACCCAGGAGCTCAGGTATAGGGGACAGTTAGGTTCAGGCCCTCAGGGTTAACTAGGGTGGGCTTGGCTGGTCGCACTCATCATTACCTTGAGCTGTGACTCACATACCTCCCAGTGGCACAGTATAACACTGTCATCTGGAAAGATGCTAACAGAATATCACAACAGTCATCAAGAAATACATTTTTATGTTTTTCTTCTTTAAATGTAAATCTCCAGCATATTGTGCCACTGGGTGTGCTAACAACTGGCTTGCAGACAAGTATTGTGATCAGGTAAGTTTCACATTTTTTTTTAAAATAATAACAGCCTCTGCTGGGGTTGCCAGTTTTTGTAAATTTAAAAAAAAAAAAAAAAAAAAAAAAAAAAAAATTAAAAGAAACACAAACGAGGACATGTAGACTAAAAAATATACATAATCAAATACTAAACTTACTCCATAGGAACAAAATTTGGGCGAAAACACCGAAGAAAACAAGGAAAAACAGAATATCTGGCAACCCTAGCCTCAGCAGTGCAGTTGACTAAATGCTTACATACCAGACTCTTCATATGTTTAAATCCTCATCTGGTCTCCCAGGTTGACCCAGTCTAAAATGAGTATCAGTAAATATTCTGGGAAGTAAATGGGAGCCAGTGTGAAATTTATAACCTAACCCATCAATTGCTGATCGGACTAAAAGAACATAGTTCTAACACCGCTTACTCAGTACATTATGAAAATCACACTGTATGTTCAGGAGTTGCGGGGAATTTGTGAGGAAACAAGAATAGTCCCACTGCTCCCCTAACAAGTATGTCCTCAGAGGCTACTAATAATGGGTGTTTCCTTCGAAGTTGGAGAGCATCTGCCTGAGAAGCGAGAAACCAAAAGTCTGCTTACAAATAATCCAGATCTGTGAAATGGATGTGCACAGAAAACTTTAGTTCTGCAAGAGTTCCAAGATGTCAGATCTGTTAACAGATTATCCAACAAATGTTTTTGTGAATAGTGATTTCCTATGTTTGATCCCATTTGGCTCTCTCTCCACAAAGCATGAACTTTGAAGGCTCCAGCAATGATCCCCAGGATCTCTGTAAAAAAGGTACTTGAAAGCAAAATGATACGGTTTGTGAAACGAACCCTCGACCAGCAGAGTACAGTACCAGTCAAATGAATGAGTTACAGGGACCCCCAGTATGTACGTCAGTGATATCAAATGTACCATATTTTTCTGTGTATAAGACAACCCCATGTGTACGATGACCCGTGTGTTTTTTATTTTTGTTAGCCTAAAATTCCCAGTGTGGATTCCAGGGTCCCATTGTGGAGAAAAAAGAATAGACCCACTGCCTTCCTAACAAACATGTTGTAGAAGTCAGCTAACTGGGGACTTCCTTTGAAGTTGGAGTGCATCTGCCCGAGCAGCAAGGAACAACCAGCTGCACGTGAATAAGCAAGTACAATGAACATACACACAAAAACTCTGGCCCTGGCACAAATCCAAAGTCCAAATGGATGAACAACCAGGACTTTCTGCTGGAGCTTACAGCCAGTGAACAAAGAAGAAGAAGAAGATTAGCCTAAAATTAAGAAGTAAATGTCTTAAACACATTCCATGTATAAGATGACCCTCAGTTTTAAACATGAGAAGTTTGGGAAAACACATCATCTTATACACGGGGAAAGTACATGGTGAGAAAGAATGATTTCATTTCAGGCGTGCAACAACCTCGACTGTGGCTTTGACATTGGAGACTGTGGGACTGACAACTATGACCAGCTGTACAACTTGAACCTGAAGAAAGGAGACTCTAACTACATTCTACCCCCAGGTAAGTTGCTTTTAGTGTGTGAAATGATATTAAACCCCCCAAAAAAGTAGAACTAGGTGTATGTTATGTGAAGACTCCTCAGTCTCTTCCAGGATGTGACTCGTACAAAACTAATAAATATGTCAGAGACAAAATATACAAATTTGCAGGACATCAGGAGCCTCTCTTGGCAGTGGTGAAATGTCGCAAGCTAGCTTGGTTTGGGCACGTGGTGAGACATAATTCGATTGCAAAGACTGTACTTCAAGAAACATTGGGGAGGGGGGGGGGGGTGTAGTCGAAGAAGAGGAGGGCAAGGAAGAAACTAGAATGACAACATAAAGAAATGGACAGGACCAAGTTATCATACACTTATTCATCAAGCAAAAGACAGAGAAAAATGGCGAGTTTAGTGTGCTAGTGCTTCCATCAGTACACCTCCAAAACCCTAATGGGTCAAGGGTTATGTTGTTACGTTATGACTCCTGTACCACTATTTGAAAGCCACAAAATTAATCTTTTTCTAAACCATCCGTCATGGGAATCAAACCTTGGTAAATGCCAAGTTCTGCAGCCAGTAGAACAGGTAGGAAATCATTTTAATTCTCACAGTTGCTTTTTCTTATATGGAATGTCCCACAAGACCTTTCTGTAAATTTTTTGCTAGACTAAATTAGTTAGCTCTGTTGATGTCTTCTCTTCTTCTTCTGTCTGTCATCTCCCAGTAGATCAAAGGCCCACAACTCACACCAAGGCCTTTGTAGACTTGTTCAAAAGGCATCTTCAAAGCTAATTTAGTCTAGCAAAAGGTTTACTGAAGAATTTTCTGTGACATTCCATCGAAGGAAAAATCTGAGGAACTGGACTTATTACCTACTTTCTTCGTAGTTCTGAGATATACCCGGGTCAGTTCCTACTGCTGGCAATTTTGCACCAAAATGCCTTGCATTGATTTGACACGGGTATTGAGAGCTGACCTTTCAGGAAGTAGTGGCAAACTAATTATCATCATGTAGCAGGTCCTTTGCAGAACATTGCTCTCATCACGGTCTGCCTGAAAGAAACTCGGTCTCTCGCCAGCTCTCCTGCCTCATGCACTTTCATACCTGGTACCATGCCTTCTGCTATAATTTTTTGCAATGGTGCTTGATATGACCAAAATATTTCAGCTTCCGAGACAGGATGCTGTTTATTAACCAGTCTTCCTCGATGTTCAGATCTTTCAAGATGTCAGTGGCAAACTACTGAATGTAAAATTGCCTAGTAAAACCGCAACAGCCAACAAACGTCATGTATAAGATACACAACTAACTTAACCTTATACCCAGTTTCTTCCATGTGTGGAAAAGATTATTATATTTGGCTGTTGGCTTATCTCTACATGCTGGGATGGATAAGAAAGTCTGAATTAATGGTTTATGCAAACATGCTTATGTATAACTTTGCTGTGGCTGTTTTAAACTTGTAGATGAACCATTGGCTACTTTACGAACATGCTAGAGTATAACTCTGCTGTGGCTGTTTTAAATTTGTAGATAAAACCATTGGCTACTTGCAGACATACTAATGTTTAGCTCCTCTGTGGATGATTCAAACTTGTAGATGAAATCATTGGCTACTTGCGAACATACTAATGTTTAACTCTACTGTATCTGTTTCACACTTTCAGGTGAAATCATCGGCTACTTCAACCTGTCAGAGCTGGTTGGGGAGAAGGGAAAGGTGAAGTCTGCTAATTACGAGACTAACTCTGCTTTAAGAGCCGTTGCTGTGGGCAACAAATTTAGAGTCTTGACCATGGTGTTGAACAAAGGCATGAATGCGACAGACCTGAAGTTTTATCTGGTTTACACGACAGATGGCAACGACACACACAAGGTTAGTCATTTGGTTCCTGTCTGGGTTCCACGGCCTCATTGGGGAAGGGGGCGGGGGTGTGTATGAAAAGGGAGGGGGATGAAAGGGGGGGGGGGGGGATGGAATGTATAGACCCACTGCCCTCCTAACAAGTGTGTTGTGAAAAGTGACTAATTAGGAGAGTTTCTTTTGAAGTCCAAGCATGTCTGCATGAGAGGTGAAGAACCAACAGTCTACACACAAATAGGCCAGATTCATAAAATGAATACATGCAAAACTCCAGTTCCTGGAACTTGAAAACAGTCGCAAGCGGCTCACAGGATAGAATTATAATAGCTGTTACTTTGCACAAACTGCACCCCTAACAAGCTTGTCATAAAAGGCGACTAATTAGGAGTGTTTCCTTTGAAGTTGAAGTGCATCTGTCTGAGAGGCAAGAAACCAACAGTCTCCACACAGATAAGCTAGATCTGTAAAATGGGAATGCACACAAAACTTAAGTTCTGGAACAAGACTAAAGTCCAGAAGTGGATGAACAACCAGACCTTTTCACTGGAGTTAACAGCCGGTGAACGTGAAGAAGAGGAAATAATTTGTGAGGTCTGGGCTGCTCGTTTTTTAATGATTGCTTTGAATGTGGCAAGTGCAGGGAAGCTATTGTGCCAGCCTCAGGTTCTGATCCCAATGTATTCTTAGGAAATTTTAGCATTAACACAAAGTCTGATGATATTGCATGTTTTTTCTGGGCAGTAGGACATCTAGTATTTTTAAATTAAGGTGAAAAACAGATGGTTTTCACACTTTAACGATCCTTTGGCAGTTGCAATTATGCCATCTTTTATTGTGTCCAAATTGGTCAATGAATCAGGTGCCATCTTCACAGTGTAGGTGGCTGTAATGGATCACCAACATGGTCTGTTTTTCGCCCTTGATGTACACTCTCTCAGACAGCTGTTAGTTCATCTCATGATGGGCTTGTATTATCTGCGTCTTACTTGTATCGCTATGCGCTCTCTAGAGACAGTGATGATTAAGATGGGGAGGGATAGGGTGATCGGCAGGAAATTATTAAAATTAATGCAGTGGCTCCATTTTGGGAGGGGCAAAAATTAAGCAAGTGATAAAAGGTGGTTTACTGAAATTGGATGTTTTGGGCACAGATAGTGCAGCCTAGCTTTAAACCACAACACAGCATTCTAACCGTCCTTCTAAGGCTGAAAGCTGAAGAAGAAGAATTGCTTGAAGGGACAGTGTTTCAGGGAGGAGTAAAGCTCAAAAGTTGAAGCAGAAAAATATAATTTTTTGAAAACATATCAATTGCAAAATGAAACGTATTTGATAAATGTTTCTGGCCATAAATATTGGTTCACCATAATGAACGCCTTGAAGTATTTGACCCAAATGCTGACCTATCTTTCTTGCAGATATAATCTGTTTGAAGTGTAATGTATGTGTATATTTGTTTCAGTGATTGGTTTCTCTGTTACTAATAGAGATCATTTGTTGTCCTAGATGAATTTAACGGTGCATGTAGATACATCGGTAAGCATACCTAAGCCGGATCTTGTCAACACAAAAAATAAGACGAAGCAAGCAGACGTGAACATAGATGACAGTCTTGATGCTGCAGCCTTTCAGGATGACTTTATTTCCCGAAGGTTGGTTATAGATCATGTTATTATGTCAGTGTTATTAGTATTATTTATCTTCATGTGGTATGTCCATTGCACATATTTGTCAATGTATAAGCCGCTCCCTTGTATAAGACTCACCCCAAAAATTGAAATAAATTTTCCCTAAAACCTCACGGAAAAACGAATGAAGCCATTTCTAATGGTTACAAACTCACTTTTGGGGAGGAATAAACCACTTTTAGGTATTAGATAGAGCCCACCTGCATAAAATAAGAGAATATATTATATCTATAATATATATCAATAAAAGAAATACCACCTTTGACTTTGGAGTGGACAGACTCCCAGACATGCTGCACGATTGCTCTATCTTCTCCCTACCTCAAGGAATCTACATTGCAAGACAACCTTTAAGCAAATGGCAGTGACCTTGGATGCACTATCCAGTTATTTACCCAGACAGGAAAGTGTTTACCTTGGCTGGTGTTGAACACAGAAGAAGATGGAAAGCTTCTTGGGTCTTTGAAGCAGCTTCAGAGGAGCTGCACCTGTAAAAGAATGATGTGAAACTGCCAGGAGTAGATAGTTCAGCAGTGTTGAGTTTAACCAAAAGAACATTTTTAATGGCACTGAATTGGTAAGAGTAGTCATTTCAGCTTTATACTAGTAAAAACAACATGTGTAACTTGCACATTTTACAGGCAGTTTAATTGTGTTTTCACTTGTAGCTTTCCCTGTGAGGGTTACGTGATCCCATTTAGGAAGGGGAGACAATAGACCCAATGCCTCCCTAACAGGCATGTCATAGGAGTAGAGGCAAGTAATTCAAGGCATTTCTTTCCAAGTCGGATTGCATCGGCCTGAAAGTCGAAGAACCAGCAGTGTACATACAGATAAGTAAAATCTATTAAACAGATGCACATGCAAAACTGAAGTTCTGGAACAAAGCCATAGACAAGAAATTGATGAACAACGAGGATTTTTTGCCGTTTACAGCCGGTGAATGTAAAAAAGGCACTTATGGTTGGTGAGATATGATGGGTGGTTTTTGTGTTATCTGACATGTATATGTTGAAATATACTTTTTTTTTTAAATCACAGAGGTCCTATTGCATCCGTGATGAAACCAACAGATTCAGACAATCCACTTCCTGATGGTATAGATCCTGGCATTTTACCAGTAGTTTCACACGTGCCTATGTCTGAAGCCTTAAAAAAGGAGTTGGAAATCCTTCATGAGGCTTATAAAGAAGGTAAGTCACAAGAAAGGACAGGGTTACAAATACTTGCATTAGAGAGAAAGTTTGAATAAGACCATGTCTGGATTATATTGACAAACAAAGAATTAAATGGTTCAGCAATCTAGTGAGAATGCAGCCATAGCAAACTGCATATAAAACTTTTACAGCAGAACATTTAGGAGGAAGGCAAGGGGAAGACCAAGAAATAGATGGTTAAAAGGTGTAGCTGAAACATGCAAAAAGATGAACAAATCCACTACCCAAGCCACCCGAAAAGCTCAGGACAAAT